CGGCTGGCCATTCGGTATCATGATGGTCATCTTCATCGGTATCCTCACGTTCATTGACCCCAGAAGATCCCTCAATGTCGCTAAAATCCAATACCCCGGACGCCGCTTGAAGGTTATACTGCAGCGGCACACAGACGGTCTTCTGCGCATAATCTCCATCAGCCACTCCCGCTTGCAGCTCCTCTGTCATCGGTACATCCTCGACAGTCCACAGATTAATTCTGGCATTATACTTTTCGAAGGATGTCACCGCTCGCTTGCGCTGATTGTCCCCGTCAACGTGGGTCGTTCCGCCGTACACCCAAATCTCTCCCTCCTTAATGAAGATGCAGTGATTATAACGCGCCACGTTCAGATTCGCGATGGATTCCGGGTGGGCGTAGTCGCTGCTCAGTGAGACACGGTAACATGTTGCTACGGCTTGGCTGCTCGTTTCCCAATCCCACTGGAACCCTTCGGCATCCACGCAGCCACCCGTAATGTACATGTACCCGTTGAAGACGATCGTCCCGCACCGATGATGGAGATGCCTTCTCTTATCCCAACCAAAGAACTTGGTCCATTTCTTGCTACGAACATCGTACATCTCCGCCACGCTCACTGGATTATGACTGTTATTTCCCATAACGGATCCGACGGACGAGAAGAAGATCATGTGGCGACCAACAGGAACGGCTTCCATGGATGCTCTGTATATTGTGTAAATCGATTTAGTCCTCGGTACATACTTTAGAATATTGTTCAGGCTTCGAAATTTCTCGCATCCCGGACATTTTCACAATAATGAACGCGTACCGGACACGAGAGACATGCTATTCTCTAAATCGTTTGAAATGTATTATTTTTCAACAACCTTGTGTACGAGACTAATAAAACTTATCAAGTTTTCTAATGTGGAACAACGCAGAGAATACTGTTTCGCTGGTCTCTGGATCGCGAACACATGTTGTTAAAGTGTCCGGACTGCAAAAAAACGTCGAAGTGCGCTACTAATAAAAAGACTCACCTTTTGTAATTCAAATTATAAACTCTGATGGTGTACTTCGGCATATGCATCTGGGATGCTCGGCGCTGCCGTCTCGTGGCCACATCGTAACAGTACCTTAACTGGTGTTCAGCGGATGAACTCGCCGCACCATAGATTTGACTACCCATGGCGACCACGCACATGCAGTCGTTAAACGGAGACCCCTCCAATAAAATGCGTCGGCTGCCGGTAATGCAGTCGATCGCCATCAATCCATTGTCACGCCCTTCCTGGGAATTCGGTTTGGTGCCGATGACCAGTTCCTTTCCGATAGCAACAGCGAATCCATCTGCTTTAATCTGCGGCCAACATTCAGCCAGCGCCGCCTGCAGAGGCGTGTCCAGCTTGGTCAGTTCGTTGCTGGCAAAGTCAAAGCGGAGGAGCTGGTGTGGGTGTTCTTCTCGCATGTGGTAGAAGATGGCTTCTTTCTTCCCTCCCCGCTTTAGTAACGCTCCGCCACCCAACTGGCCCCGTTTATGTTCTTTCGAAATCCGCGTCAGGACATAGTGCAGTTGTCCGCTGGCGCTGGCTGTCAGCAGTTCTATGTCCAGCTGATCCCACACAATGCATTCACGCAGAAGACGATACGCATGCTGCATCCGTTCCGCCGGGTCATGCATGCACCAAGATATTATCGTCTGCAATGTGAGCACGTTGAATATGTTCAAGTACGTACTCTTCGTATTATTGGAAATTAAGGTATTAAATTTACCCGGTGCATGGGCACTAAATATGATACTGCATCCTCCTTAGAAATTTGTAAAAGTTTAGACGTATTCGAGCGTATCAAAAGTCTCATTATGAACTGATGCTCTTCGGTTTTTTGCATTGTGAACGCACACAAGTATGATTGTTGAAGATTGCTTTTACACCGAACCATAGTTCCATGATATTTTTAAATTTTGACCATCAATTCCAAAACTTTCAAAATGTATACTAAAATTTGAAAAAAAAACTTTTGGAATTCTCATTCGATGTCATAAGAAGTTCACGTACTGTGCAACGTGTACTGCGGTACATTGACACCAAATACCGGTACATGTACAATTTGTACATGTAAGTGCAATACTTACATAGTTATGTTAAAATTTAATACCGTGTACCGCAATACACGTGACGTTCTCGTTTGCATTACCATTATTTTATCTCTCGCAGTGCAAGTTTTCACTTTCACTGATATCAGAAGGCCTAAGATTATAAATTTACATTATATTAAGCAAATTAATATATATACCCGTTTTCTAAACAAACTTCAGCTAATCCTGGTAAGAGTTAAACATACTTATGCGTGCGGACGAACCTGGTACACCATGTCTTCGGATTCCGCGATGAAATCGTCGTGCGTCAACAGATCGATGACCTCCTTAGTAGAACACCGCAGAAACTCCATATAACACGATACAGGAACCTGGGCAAACCGAGCACCACGGAAATCGCTCTTGAAAATCGCTCCAACGGCTAGCATTTCCAGATCCGGCATATCGCGGCGACGGGCCAACCGCCACAGACGAAAAGCGTTTTCCGGTCGCTTCATCACATCTTCCGGATGTCGGCAGTCATTTTCTCGACTTTCTCCATTTGCAGGTATTTCGCCGCGATCCAAACTTTAATGGCGTCTTTCCGTTCGAAGGACAGCATGAAACTTTTGTGTCCCAGATTTTGGACCAATTTAACAACCGTATCCAGGCAAACGCTGTCCGGTAGCTCCAGCTCAAAGCTGGTTGGGTCGCTCTCCTTGACATTTTCCGTGAACATGGTGGCGAAATATGCCGACTCGGCCATCAAAGTGCCTTTGTCTACGGACACCACTTTACTGCCCGCAATGCGCAGTGTGATTTTAACAGAGTCCTGAGCTGGTTCATCCGTCACATTCAGGTTCTCCATTTCGGGTTCACTCATTATGCTGAAATCACCGTTCGGTTTCGACAAGCGTTATTTGCATTTATTAGGAGCAATAATTCAGTTTCAAGTGCAATGTGGCAAATTGCGTATGCAAATTGCGTAATTGCGTAAGGAGGTAACTATAAGTACAGAGGTACATTAAACATTATTAAACAACATCGCACCGTGTGGGTACCGGTAAACTAAACCTTATACGAGTACAAGTACGAGCCTTATACCGTCGGTAAACAGCATTATTCTACTGTAGGAAGTGCGCCATATACAGAGTACGGCCCAATCAACGACTGAACGACATGCGGCACGCCCTCGTGATTCGTGGCGTAACAGCGCAGAGATTTAATTTAATTGTTAGCAATAACACTATAATTTAAACCGGGTACTTTTAAAGCCACCGTTTATACTACATGCATTATACTCGTACATATAACATATTATGTTAATCTGCCCATAGCCAGATGGGTAATACGTTCGGCTTTTGAACTGTATAGCTTGGGTTTGATTCGCAGATGAGTAACTTTTATCGCATGAAATCAAACCAAAAAAAGTATAAAATTTTCAAAATGCCAAAAATAAATTCCAATAGCCTTAAAAGTCTCCCAAGTGCAGTTGGACTACTGTTGGTTCAATAATAATAATTAATCGCGTACGGTAGTTACATATTAAATTTTTATACATACTATGTACTATGTACTATGTACTATGTAGTACAAATGCTGCATATAGATATAAGAATCTGATTATAAAATTGTAAAATCAGATGGAAAACAAAAATCAGAGGAACAAAACTCAAAAAAATTCTACTATATAAGCCTTCGTGAGAAGCCAAATCGTCGAAATATCAGTTTATCGTTCGTTCTTTCGTATTGTTCCCGTAATTTAGTATATTTCATAGAATAATAGTATTACTAATCTTTAAATCTGCACATAATATTACGAATCTTTAAAATATAGTGAAAATCATAGGGTGGTCAATTAATATTATCCTTCAAAGGGGTAGGGCCGAGTGCGGAAGCGCGAGGCATACCTTGTAGTGTTAAAAATAGTGTACGTGACTATCACTTTGAAGGGAGTAAGTAGTTCATTCGGTGCTTATGTTGCTACGAATTTATACCTAAATAAAAAAAATTGTTTAAAAAAAGAAATTCCCGCTAACTGCGCTTTGAGATATGCTATGATGTAGGATTACAGGTTACCATAGAACGAAAAGCACTACTGTACTCGTTACAAAGATTTAGAGCGCTGCTTTCGAATGCGATCATACGATAAAGTACAAACGGATTTCCATGTGTACTGTTTACCATGAGAACAAGACAATCGCTAGACTACGGGCTTGTAATCGGCGAGATTTGGGCGCGATCTGGGCTCACAAATGGATTTTGGAGATCTGATAAGTACAGATGGAGTATCAGCTATTAGGCTCCCAAGGTGAAGTCTGGTCGATCTGCAGGCGTTGCGTGTGGTTGTTTAGAATTATTAAAAATTCTTTCGAATAACATCTTGGGATGAACGAAAACAGCACAACCGGTATATGCTGTTTGTCGACGCTCCTAATTCGACCTACAGGATGCATGTACAGAAAGCGCTACAGAAAGCGCTAAATAAAAGTTTGAGCAAAAATAATTTTATTTTTTTATGTCATTACTTAACTTCTTATACTCGTGGTTCTATAAATTCGTAGGAATAATCATATCGTATTTTTATAATTTTCGTAGATTTTGTATGTACTGATAACAGTACGACGCTAATTGTAAGGTTTTTGGTATTGTCCAGAAATGATCAGTACCCATAAAAGTCTGTGTGTGCGTCTGGTTCATCCAAGTTCAACGACGACGGCTGCTGATCTTTGTATCACACCCCCTTGGCTTTTGGTGTTAAGACAATTTAACTCAAATGTTTTTCGTTGTAATACAAACTGTAGATTATGTACAAACTTTTGCCACTCGGGTATGTTGTTTCGTTCAGATTTTGTAGTATCTCATCAGTTCCTGAATTATGCATTTCAGCGTTCAGCGTGAAAACACGTGCCAACCAAAGTTTTTAGTTTTTACTCTGGCAGTGTCTGCAACCCAAATCTTTTTATGCTTTATTCGACCTGAAAAGTAGTACGCTCTGCGGGAACGTCGTGACAGAGACTACAAAACGGGCTTAACGCGAATAATAAATAACACAGACGAAGATTACAAAGTATACTGAATCACCGCTTAATTTACTGTGGTAATTGTGACCATTCTGGCGAAAATCGCGCACAGTACCTGCGATGACGGAGTTACATATTATCACGTCCGTGCAGAATATGATTTATTTTTATTCATTTTTTTTAGTTTTTATTCTGTGGTCGCGCGGGTGGATACTGATTTTTCTCACAGTACGGGTTCCGGCTCCAAACAGAGCAACACCACATAAAATAAGAGAAGATCGACTTGTCAAGTAGATACAGGTTTTTGCACGTCTCCAGGGGACTGTTGAACATATCCGGGTAAACGTGGCACATGGCATTCATAATTCTTTGGGGCGGAGGGGGATCGGACCGGAAGGGGTAAGGTAAAGCGCACAATGTCTGCAACCACACAACATTCCTCGTTGTTTGTAACTTTGTACACGGTACGAGAAGTACGGTGATTAGTTGACTTACATCTTCCGCACATCCGCCCATCCAACATATAGAGAACGAGAGTAACAGAAGGACTGCGTTGTTTTTCATTTCCTTAGTCAGTAACACAAATTCAGAGTGTTCTTTTGAGAAGTACGTGGAAAGAGAGGATAAACCTTCTGCAGGTTTCACAACGTCAGAATTGTAGTGCGCTAAACTGAGAACGGGGGCCTGGAATATGAAGGACATACGAGTACTACCTCGTATAATACTTAATAACATTAAATAATGTTTTAGAAAGGCTGATTTTTTTGCACAAATTCAATCTGGTTACTACGCGCAAAAACGTAATACACTGGTTTATAAGTTTACATAAAATAATAATAAAAAATTAAATAAAGGCCTGGTAGTACGGTAGGAAAACAGCCAAGAAAACATAATGCATCCTAAAACTTTTCAGACAACTATTTTTCATTTTTCTGACAGTTTACAATTACACACGCTTTGGTAGGAGGGCGCCTTCACGCTGAAACTTGCGATATCAAAACGGATAAGTGCTATCCTAGAACGTACAACAAAGCGGAACGTTACCGTAATAATGCGTGAAGGCGGGAGGAAAGGGCAATGCACGGGTCATGCCGCGCCTGAACCTAAGCAGCATTATTTTGTACAAGTTACTCAGGAATATATATTCATGATATTTACGATTACAGCATAAGAAGCAAGGTGTAGCTAGTAGAGAAATTGAAGGGATGATCGCCAAAATTATCATGAACGCTTTTATTCACATTGATGTACATGACCTTTCAAAAACAGATACATGCACACAGCTTATGCACAGATGTAAATTATTATCACGTCTGCGCAAATTAGTGCCTTCATTTTTTGAATGCACTTGGTAGTGGTCGCGCAGGCGGATATTGTGGTCCGTCACAAAGAGGATTTTGCGACCACTTCGCACAGCACCACCAAAAATAACTTTTGTCTGGTTTGTCAGCAGCCTTTAGGTTTCTGCATGTATCCATTGGACTGTTGAACATATCCGGGTAGATGTAGCAGCCCGCGTTCATAATGGATGAAGGCGGTGGAGGATTCGGCTTCATGGGAAAAGTGTATGGTTGGGCGCATAGGGGCGGTAAAGGTCTGGTCTGTAATCACAGAGCCATTAGCCCATGCTTGCCTGTAAACGGAATGGCAGGCTCGCGATGACACGTTTACATACATCTTGCGCAAATCCTCCAGTCCAATATATGGAGATCGACAGTAAAAGAACGATTGCGTTGTCGTTCATCTCCCTTAGCGTTCGAGTAACACAGAAGTACAGCGTTCTTGTAGAGTACGTAAAAATTGAGTTTCTGAAAACCTGTTGTTAATTTCAGGATGGTAAATCTAGTTTAGTATGTTTAAAGTGAATCGCTCTGATGTGAACTAAATGCGGACGAGCCTAAAAATGATTATTATGTCCGAAATATGTTCCGTCGGTTGCCATGCACAAAAAACATAATAAGTAAGCACTCAATGGCCAAAAACACTTAAGTACTGTATTAAATTTTGTAATAATAATTGTTGATGTACAGGATTTTTCATAGTGCACGTACAAACTTCGCGCAATACATTGATTGTACTGTTTTACAGAACTTGAAGAAATAATTATTAAGTACATACGTTTTCCGTGAAAGAATAGAAAGTTGAGAGAGTATTGGAAAGTACTAGAGAGACTTGAGTTTTACTAGAAAGTAAGTATGTACATACGCAACAATTTATTTTGATTGTTTTCTACAATTATTCTAAATAACATTCTGTATTATGCGTATGGAATAGAACTATTATAACTTGTAAACCGACTGGTCGTGTACTGCAACTGATATGCACAAGCCATAAATCAACTCGAAAAAATTTTTGTAACTGGCGAACAAATTTCGAGGTACTAAAGACTAAAGTGCAGAACAGCCTTGTGATCTGCATTTGACACTACCCCGAAATCGACACTGGTACACCGTACAACCATTTACTGCCACAGCGTCCCACAAACAACATCTGCTACAGTCCAGTATTAGCCGACATAAGAGTGACCAACAAAAAGAAAATAATATTAATATTAAACGCGTTCACCCCATATGAATTTGACTAGTTCGGGTTTGCGCAGTACTCGCGGCATCTTCAGTTGGCTGGGCGACGAACCGCTGTTATCCAGCATATAGTTCCTCATGCGAACAAAGGATGCGGGTTTAAGGAGGTACAGCTCCAGTGGACCAATGGCGCCCTTACTGCGGTACAGTTTGTAGTCACTGTGATTGTGCGCCAGCCGTTCATCCACCTATCAGAACGATAATTTCAGAAAAAAGCAATCACGCAGTCTGTAAAGAAAACATTACTTTATCAGCCAAAGCCAGTTGGACTTCCTTCAAGTTGACGGCACCAGTAATGGTCAGTTCCAGGAAGACCACATAGCACGGTACACTGGAAATCGAGACATCTGCAACATAGACAAATTTAGGAAATGAATAACTCTGTGTAGTAAGCTTATTTATTATATTTTAGTTCTAACAAGCTACCCATGGTGTACATAAAGAATGGACACCAAGAATTAATTTTTACCTTTGCCTAGTTCAGCTGCATCGCGTGTCAAACTTTCGCACGCTGTGAAATCCACAATCCTCTCAACTTTTACGTCCAACGAATCCACAGCTTGTTTAATGGCGTCTAACATGACGACTTCCGAAACCTTTTCAGCTTTAATGTTCAACAATTGTCCAGAACTGTCAGCATATAAAAGTTACCACTGAATTAGATTCTGATGCACAATACCGAACAAGTTTGATAAATACCTAATCGTCAGTTTAACATTGTTAGGAAACAAGTTTATTTGCGATGCTGCAACAATATGTACTGGTACATGAATGGTTGTAAAATAATGTAATAAATCTGTACATTAACAGCTAAAAATTTACCGGTATTGGAACTCGATAACCGGGCACTGCTGGAAAAAGTCCACCACACGAACAATGTCACCGAGCCGATACCGATACAGTCCAGCACGTGTAGTTAAAACAATTTCGTAATCTTGACCTTTCTCCAGCTAGAATGATAAGATAGTCAGTCTTCAAATTGGCATGATTCGGTCTGTCATCTAATGTAATCATATTATAATTACAGCAAACTCGCTTGCTACCTGGTCCATGAACAGTGTCGGTGGCACAGTGTCGTGTACGTTAGCCAAAGGAATAAACTCATAAAATATTCCATAAGGAAACAAGAGGTAGTTCATCGGTACTCGATCCGGCCATAAATTCATTCCAAACAAGCCTTCGGTGCCAGCATATAACGGACTATATATAGCAATCTCTGCAGCGGTCAAAAAAGAACATACTTAAAGTATCAGTAATTGAGGGATATACTCGTAACTGAAATATTATTAATAAATCAACTGATTAATATTCCTGATTTAGCTAATTTGATTACCTGAGCCAATATACTGGTGACGCAATGTGTACACATAATGAATAAAAGGACCTCCAGCAATGCAGTCGATGACCTTTAAGTTTGGCCAGATGCGGGTCGCAATGTTGTTGAATCCTAAAATAAAAGATCAGCAGTGAAGTTAAATTTCTCCTGGTAGTCAAATCTACCTTTTATTAAATTCCTTTTCCAGTTCGTCGGCTCGTTTTGGATCCGGTGTCAGTTCCTTCTCCAGCTGGGCGCGAATTCGTGGTTCCAAACCAGATCGGCTTTCAGCGTTCCATGACGGACATCACTGACCAGATTCTTTCCATTCCTTCTCCATTTCCACGAAAGCATAATAAGCCAGCGAGATGAAGAGTGCTTCGATCTTCTGGAGATTGCGCTCACGCAGCCCGAAAACCAGGTGCACGTAGCGGGTGGCATCTTCATTAGGATTGTCATAGCCAATCAGCGGTGTGGTCAGCATGTCCCCGAAGGCCATCGTCACCGGCGATGCACTGGCCGGACCAATCTGTGTACCGTTGGCTGAACGCTCCAATAAGCGTCGAACATTGTAGTACAACTTCATTCGCTGTTAACCAATCACAAGTGTTGTTATTGTACGTCTATACAAAGTCACACTATCCTTGCATATTTGTTGTTAAATCAACAGGTTTTTTATGTAAAGTCTTCCGGTCGTTTTAAAACTGGAATTTTACGAAACCGCTCCATGGAAGTTTTTTTGTTTTATTGTTATTTCGTTAAACTTTAACTGGTGTAGTATCCTATTACGTTGATCGTAATTAGGGTTATCTCGTATATTCAGCTAACTTCATTTATCGGTTTGTTTAAATTTTTCACTTTTTACCAGTTATTTAACAAAATTTTGAATAATCTTAATTTGTCAGTTACTTTTCATAAAAAGATATCGGTCAGAACTTTGCCCTTCTCAGCCAATATATGTATTACTTATCGTTCTTTATTTTATGATAGAGAGCCAACGTTTGGACTACGCTTCCGTATCTAACCATTACTTTTAGAACATATGGACATTACAATGTACACATCGCGCATACCTTCTTAATGCTACCGAAACCCGGAACAAATTCACTGGCATACGCCATGATATCCCAGTAATCCCGGTTAGCCTGTCCCTGAAAAGGCACCTGCGGGATGCGACTGGGCTTCCCGGTCGTCCCGGTGGTTTCCGCATAGTACACCGGCGATTCGGCCGTCATGACATTTTCCTGGGCGCCATTGATCATACGTTCGTAGTAGCTCTCAAAATGTGAGTATTTCACCAGGGGGTGCAAGCGGACGAAATCGTCCCGGTTGCCAATTTGGCTGTCCTTTTTAAACCATTTCCGGGCGTATTCGGTGTCGGCGTTGTACTTGAGGATTTTCATCAGTTCGGTCTCTTGTTGTTGGCGAATGTCCCGGGTTTCCGTTTGCATTTTGCGGTGGAGAAAATAACCGCGGATAAATTGCCGGCGCCACTTAATGTACTGCCGGATGGTGGTGAGAAATGGAAAGGAGGAATCGCGCTGCCGGAAGAAATCGGCAATAATGAATAACTGGGCAGCGAATATCGGCACTGAAATAAAATATACCAGCAAAAGCATTCCAACAAAATCTTTGATTCTGTCGAAAATGCTTTGATTCTTTTTCGAAAATAACAAATTTTGCGGAAAAAAATCTCGCTTAGACATTGGTAAAAATTTACCGCAATTTTAAAAAATAAATGGAAAATATTGAAAATCACGTGTACAAGTACAGCATTACTTGGTCAAATGTGAAATTAAAAAAAAATATTTTACAGCATGAGCACATGCTTACCTGGGAAGAATCACACATTCATGACGACACATCATTTTATTATTTTTGAAAATAATATTTTACGTACGTACTGTAATTCAACACGCTTACCAAAAACAAACAGTCCAGCAGCACAGCAACCACAGCCAGCGCCCACAATCAGCGCTAAAACAGTCGCTCCCAGTGCAGCCACTTTGACAAAGGATATTTCCTCCATTTTTTATGCAGGTGCAGAATTATTACGACTCATACAGTTACTGTTAGGGGAAATTTAATCCTGCACACCGCTGGAATCACTTTAAAAACCCGTCAAAAATTGTATATTATCAGTAACTGCACTTGATGGGCGCTGCGCCTACACGTCGCTGACTGATAACGTGCGCGTGTGGAAATTTTGAATATTCGAGGCTGGCAAGTTCAAGGACAGGAACAAATAATATTCAGTAATTTATGTGTTCTGTTTGCTATGATGTACCGTACAAATTCTGGGTTGAAGTTAATCTTATCAGGTACTATGTAGGAGATAATCCAGTCAGCATACGAGCAGCGATTTTTACAGTCAGATTTTTCTACTCTTTAAGAAATACATACGTAACATAATTAATTATGCCAACAATCCAGAAAACAGAAGCGCCGGGAAAAAAATACAAATGGTAATTATATTTTAATAGTAATTATATTATTTATATTAAATAGTAATTATATTATATTCTTAAGCTTTTACTATCGAATCATCGACCAATACGTCGATTTAAAATTTACAGTTAGCGTTGTCACGGGGTTTGTTAAATTGTCTGGTAAAAAACTTGGGCGTATTGAAAGTATCAATATAGCGGAGCAGGAATAAATATAGATATAAGTATAATAACGTTTCAGTAAAATGCAAATAAATTTGTACGTGTTTCAGTGTTTGTTACGTGTGTAACGCCATACCGCTCTAGGCGGCGGTCTGCTGGAACAGCTTTACGCCACACTCACCACAGTCCACAGCGCAGCGCATTTTTACCGTGATTACTGTGTACGAGTCCAGCTGACCATAAACGTACAGCAAGTATTATTGGGATTCTTATTTTCAGTTTTCGCTGTTATCTTCCTCAAGTGCTATCTGTAGTTTGCTTCTCTGTATTTGTAGTTTGTATCCATGGTTTGGTTTGGCTGCTTGTTAGCTGCAGATTATTGCATTATAGTGACGCATTCATCAGCGACATGGACATCGGGAGAATGTGCATGTTTCCTATGCGACGCGAGCAGTTGTTGGAGCTCCACTACCAACTGCCAACGGATCGGTTTTTCAAATCTCTGGACGCCGATGGCCATTTGAACTACACGTGCGATTTCATGGTGAACGCAGGGCCCAGTTATCCGCAGATCGAGTGTGGCCAGTGGACCGTCACATTGACGGTGGTAGACGGAGTCGGGGATTATGGTGATCCGGAATTGTCGGTCGCGGCGGCTGTGCATCCCAAAGATAAAAAGCTGACGTCGGCCACGCCAGTGTCCGTCCACTGCAAAGTGCGGTACGTGTACAGATACGTATATTGGGAATTTAACTTGAACTTCCTGCCTAATTTGTGATGTGTTCAGAGCCAGGAAATCCAGATCATATGATCATCTCTTACGCATCGGTCCCAAAGGAGCAACGAAAACGTCCAAACCCGAAAATCAGGCTGATCTTAGTGATCTGATGGAAGACATCCGTCCGTCGCACAGTTATGGTTCCAAGGATCAGCATATCCTCTGCTCCGACCGGACGGTGCACGTTTATTTGACGTTCCGCATTCCGTCCACCACCCCTACCACCCAGGCGGACATACAGCGTCTGCGCGACCAGCAGGTGCATGATGGCGTCCTCCAGTGTGCTGATCGGGAGTTCCCGATCCACCGCTTCCTTCTGGCCACCCACTCTCCCGTCTTTGCTGCCCGCTTCCAGAACGCGATGGACGAGGGACCGTCGACAACTATGGACGTTGACGATGTCAGCGCGGAGACCTTGGCCGCCATGTTGGAGTTTGTATACAGCCGCGCGGCGGTGACGGCCGATGTGACCGGCGGCCTGTTGCAGTTGTATTCCGCGGCTGGTCGGTACGGGATGGCGGAGCTGCGCCGGGAGTGTGTGCGCGTGCTGCGGGAAAGGGAGACGGGCTTTCCGGTGTTCTGTTTTTCTGGGTTGCACGTGGAAGCCGAGAAGCAGGCGGTTATCGCCGCGGTCAAGTCGCTCGGTGGTCAGTACATTGATTCCCTCACGTATGAGGCCGGTGGCACGCATCTGCTGATCCGGGCCCCCACGCGCAATGAGAAATTTCTGGCGTTTGCGGCGGCCGGCAAATGGATCCTGCACATGCAGTACATTCAGGATTCCCTTACCGCGGGACACTTTCTGCCGGTAAGAATATTTGCTCCTCATTTCTCAGTACTGGATGAATTATAATGTTCAATAAAAGCCATTAGTTGTTAATTTTTCGGATCTTCTTTATTTCCTTGTCGTTTCATTTCCGTTGACCAATAAACTGAGAAGACAGGGAAAACTACAGAGTAACTTTAAAACCTACGAGCATTTATTTGCGCCAAATTTTGTTTGTACTCGTATGAAGCACCACTGCACCAGGACAGTGTTGTTAGTAGTTGCTAATTAATTTCCAAATTAATGATTAAGTCTTTTATCATTTTTAAATGAGATAAATATCCCCGTTTATAAACATTCCGGTTTATATAGGAGGACATGTACGAATGGGGCAATGTGGAGAAAACCTGCATCAACACGACGGCCCAAGAAAGCGATCTCGCTATGGCGGCATGCCGCTGGCGCCGGTGTGTCGAGCGAACCGGTCAGGGCGCTTTTGCCGACTGGAAAGTTGTCCTGGTGGCCGAGGCCAACCGTGCCAAGGGCTACGCAGCCTACGCTCGTGTCCTGCAAGCCGGAGGCGCCACCCTCTTAACCGACAAGTAAGCTCACCGCAACGCTGAAGAGGCGGCCTACAAAATATTTCTGGGTATCATGACTGACCATAAGTTGCTCCCACTGGATTTTTTAGGAATTTGTCGTGTATCTTTTTGGAATCGTTGCGAAATTTAATATTATCTTTAATCACCATTTCGCCATTCTACATTGCATGCCTTCCTTATTTGGACAATGTTATATTTGGTAATTGATATTTTGTTAATTAAAATACATATAGCTCTTTTCATTCTATCGTCACAAAAAATTGTTTCATCGCTGCTTTGTTCTACATAGCACATACCGTTTGTTATTTGAACGTTTTTGATTATTTTTCTAATAAACAATCATTATTATGCATACCAGATTTTTATTCTATGGCTGCGGATATTTTATTTGTGCCCCCCAAATTCATTATTGCCTTTATTTAATGTTAAATATTATTTTGAAATTTTAAGTGAAATTAATAAAGTTTGTTTTAATAATTTTCTGAAATGGTACTATCTGTATGCACTTAAATCTCTTGCTGCAGACCGCCGTATTCTCCTTTCGTCAGCGCGGCCACGCATCTCTTACGCGAAACGAAAGGTTCCGCGATGAATGCGGCGGAACTGGCGTGTTTTGAGGATGCCGGTGTGGCTTGTCACGGGATGGACTATTTGGGGCGCTACTTGTGCCAACCCCACGGGGACGCGGCCAAAGCAGCCAAGAGTCGACCGGCTCCGCAGGAGGAGGAAGAGCTTGCACCGAGTGCCAAACACATGCGCCGATGATGACCGGTTTTACTCTGCCCACTCAGTTTCTATGGGAGTACCGTTTTCTGTCCATAAATGGGCTTTCCGTGGCTTTTTTGTTATTTCCGAAGTTTTTAGTTTTGATATCGGGGAATGAGCTTCCCGGGAAACCCTGGTGCTATTTGTTTTAGACGTTCTTTCTCGTTGTATTTACTTTTTTGTATTTATTCTGTGGAATAAAAGATGTCGGCAGTACGGCAGCATTTTTCAGCTTTGTTATACGGGGAAAAAAACATTAGCGAGCGGTTGCCAGTACGACCTACATATCTGACAAGCTTGACGGAAATGCGCGCCACACTTACTTACCACCCTCAGACGGCAGTTAACTACTGCATTGCACTAGCGTCACTGCGTAATAAAAGGACTTTGTACACGTACACCACTACACTGTAGTGTAGTGAGTATTTCGACCTGTTTTCCTGATTTCATTCCACTTGAATCGGGGTCAAGAATATTAAATTAGGAATTAGAATAAATCCATTTTAACTGGAAACCATATACGTATTAACGTATACAGTTTGAAATGAAATTTGATTAGAGGCTTAGAGCTCATCTCGAAATGCATCCAAGCGCTGCAACTGCTAATACGGTTTGCGGTAGTAAGGTTATTTCTCCGAGACTCTGCGTGTCAAAAACGCACAGAAAACCATTTCCAAAAGAATCGCTGGCAAGTTAACATTTTTGCAAATTGCGTTTTTAATAGTTCGGATTTGCTCGTTCTGTTGTTTTTCTCGGAGGCCACTGGCCAGTCAGTATGTAATTATGTATATGCAGGTTATAAATTTTATCTGTTTGTGTTGCTCCCGCTGTGGGCAGGCGGTTTGTAAGATGTTTCAGTTCAGCGATTGCGCCTTACGGATTTCATCTTGCAAATTAAGTACTCGTACTGCAATTTTGCGACTTTTACTGCCGTTTGACGTTCTTTTGGTGCATTTTTCGCTGTTCTTCCATTCGGTTTTGTCTGCGTTCAAAATTGATTTTCGGTTGTAACTGTTTTTCAGTTTTCATTGCGGCTGAAGCTTGATCACTGCCACAACGCACTGTACCCTGGTTACCTCGTGGGCAGCGCTTCGATTGCCGCCGATTGTCAAACCCGTTGCCTTGATCTGTGTCATGCTATCCTGGGCCTATCCAATCCAGCGACGCCAGCCGCTGTTCAGTCTGCAGTACAGAATCCCGACGGATGCGTTCACTTTGGCGGATCTGCACTCCGATGGCCTGGACTACACAGCCAGCATCCAGGTGGATGCGGGCACCCGTTGCTCCCAGATTCCGCCGTCAGAGTGGACCGTTAAACTGCACATTCGGGAGGAGCTCAGTGAATATTATGGTGATGGTGATGAGGATCGGGTCTGCAGCGTTACGGCGTCCGTTGGACCCACGGCGCCAGGGAAGACGAAAGCGGCCGCGGCGTTGTCGGTGGAATGCACTGTGCGGTATGTGTATTAACACTGTATTTGTACAAACAACCCTTATTTTCTGACACTTTCTGGTATGCGAGCTTGTATTTTGTGGAAGGAGTTTTAGAATTAGAGCTTCTTAGGTTTTTAAAGCTTACAGATATCGCACTGTAATATTCCATATTCGTTTTACTGCATTAGACGTGTGCTCCACCTTTTACATTCGTTGTTGTCTTTATGTTTTGATGTTTTTTAAAAATTTAGCTGCGTATTTTTATACCTATTTCCGATTCACCTTGATTAGTAAATTTTTTCGGATTAGCAAGTGCTTATTTGTTTGCCTTGTGATGTTTTTGGGTATTCTGCTAATCATCGCAGTTGGTACATGTTAATATTAAAATTATAATTTGGTATTATTATTTTAATTTGGTACATATTAAAATTATTAAGTAGTTTATCTTTAAGTTGACTATAATTTACATCTGAGCTTTTGACGACTCTGTGGACAAAATGAAGTATAAAATAGGTAGAACGAAAGGCAATGATTACAAAAACGGCAACGATGGAAAGTTTCCGAGGTTCTGCATTTTGATGGTTGCCCAAATTGCCTTTATAAAAATTCTCAAATATTTTTCAGTTTTTCTCATTTAGCTCACGCTTGTTATTTTCGGTATTATTGCTTCTAGAGCTGGAGTGGGAGAGTTTTGCGACAACAGGGTACGAATCACAGCGCAAGGATCGCGCAGCACTTCTACTGCTTCGGATGCCCTTACGTCACTGGTGATTAAAAAGGATCCCTATCGCAATTACCAGTATGACTTGCGAAAAGGCCGTTCCGTCCATGTTCAGTTAGTTTTTTACGCGGATCAGCCAGATGGAGACTTAACCAGCCGTCGTGCCGACCTGAAAGGCTTACTGGATTCCCAGACACTCTGCGACTTTACGCTGGAGTGTGGCGGCCAAGAAATTCGGGCACATCGTGCTATTTTGGCCGGACAGTCGCCCTACTTCACGGCCATGTTTAACACCGATATGCAGGAGAAATTAACCGGGATCTGTCACATCCACGAATTTCCTGCCGATGTCGTGAAAGCGTTGGTCCAGTTTGTGTACACCCGCACGGTGGTGGCATCGGGCGACAGTTTGATGAATTTATGGAGGGCCGGTGATTTCTACGACTTTGCGGATCTTCGCACGGAATGCCTGTGTTTGATGCGGGAGACCGTCGCCCGACTGGCACCGGATGATGCAATGGAGTATTTTGATTTTGCCCGTTTTTACAATCTTCCTACGTTGAGAACGGCTGCGGCGCGGGTAATTGGCCGGGGATTCTACCCAACGGGAGTAGAAGCGTTGATTTCGCCGGTGGGTAAGCGCAATGTGCTGAATTTGTTGTATAAACTCCCGACGGAACGGTTTATCCGGGATGATCGCGGTGCCGATGGCGTTTATTTCACATGTGAGTTTAACGTGGATGTGGGGTCGTTCGGCCGCTCGGAGATTCCGTTTTCTGTGTGGATTGTCCGGTTGATTGCCACCAGAACAGGCTGTAGAGTGTACAAGCCACACATCGAGACAGACGTCATTCCAAAAGAGCCAGAAAAGCTGACAACAGCCGCTGCCGTGTCGGTTGGGTGCCGATATTCGGTATGTTGTATCCAAACATACGAAACGCGCTTCGAAAATGGCTAGCCAGTTTTAATGAACACGTGCGGCGTGATAGTAACAGTGCAGAGATATTTTGAATCGTCTCAGAGACTATAAAGTATAAGTAACTGAAACTCTTATTAAATATGAGTTTCAGTGACTTATACTTTATAGTCTCTGGGAAGTCTCTTACACTTTATTCAAATTTTCAATATAAATTATTACTAATTTAAATTTGAATTTAATTTTAAATTAATTCTTATATTCAATCAATAATGCAACGCAGTGTTGCAAATCAACAGTTGCTGTAAGTTACAGAACACCGTTTGATAGAGGAAAGAAATTAAAGATAAGTGCGTGAAAAGTCGACTATTTTACCATAATTATTCGCAATGATATTTATTACTATTGTTGTTATTATCTGCACATAACATTGCCATATTATCGACCTTCTGTGAAAATTTAATGTTATTTCACAGAATGTATTATTTTATGTACAGATAATAATAATAATTAAAAAATTAGACATTTTTAAAAGCTTAAATTTAAAACCTATTTACGCTCTTTTTGACGTCGCCTGATAAATGTCATTCGATAAATGTACATAAAAAGCGATTTGGTCAGACACGCAAGCACTTTTACACCGGGAAATAACGTAGGAAACATAGTACCATGCTGATTTTTACGGGATCGTACTTTGCAGAGCCAGTGCTGAACGATCATGGGACAACACCGTCCAGATTGATTCAACCTGATGTAATTATGCTGAGCCCAAAGAAGAGGACGACATCTCTCTCTGGAAGCTTGTGGGCTCCGAGGATTTGCCCGCTGGCACTGGTAAAGCCTGTGTCTTGCAGAAGGATCGCAGTGTGTTTGTCGAACTGACCTTCCATTTTGATCGGTCACGCGGCGACGCAGCGGTCAACCGGACCGACTTGCAACGGTTATTGGAGTCCCAGAGCTTTTCGGACGTCATCTTGCGGTGCGAAGGCCAGGAATTCCCTGTCCATCAGGTCCTTTTGGCTAGTCAATCGCCCGTCTTTGCTGGTAGATTTCGAAATATGACAGAGCAATCGAAAATTTGCGAAATCGATGATATCGGTCCGGATGCTTTGAGAGCGTTAATTCACTACGTGTACACACGCGCGGATGTGGAAGCGGGTAGCGGTGTCAGGTAAAGCTGAAAACATAATTTCAGTTTGCACATCAAACCCCTTGGAAATCATGCCGGGCAAAATGGTTTCAGAAGAAGAATTTAGCATTTTGGGTTTTCTGAATATTCGAGGGGAGAAATTAATCTGATTTAAAGCAGGTTTAGTAAAACACAGTGATCCCAGTAACTGTTATGACTAACGGATCATATCAGTCACTGAGTCGCTATTATTATTCACAGTTGGATTTCTTTGTTATAAAGGTAAACATACACAAATATAATAGATTTTAAAAATTCAAATTAAACTTTGTTTTTATTCGATTTTATTTAAAAAAAACGGCGTAAATTGTTGTGTTTTATCCCAGGGAACTGTATGAAGCCGCTGACCGGTACGACATGGCGGATTTGCGGGCCGAGTGTCTGCGCGTGATGCAGCAGATGGTGGCCAGGATGTCGCCGGACGATGCGGTTGATTATTTTGATTTTGCGCGGGAACATGGTCTGGAGAAACTGCTGGCGGCTGCCGCGTGGGCTATCGCTCGGGATGCGGAGAATGGCGACGCAGTGGACACGCCAAACGTGTCTGATTCCGACAGTGACAGCTCGGAGACGGACTGGGAAATGGAGGATTAATCGGCATAACAGATTCGAGCTTTTATTTGTGTTTTCGCTTAATTTTTGCCTTGTTAAGGCTTGTTGTTTTGTTCATCCGGAGTGACAGATTGTTAGGGTCAGCGGTGGTAAAGTTTATTTAGGTTTTTGAGGGAAGACTTCTGTGCAGCGGCGTGTATTTTCCAGTGCGGTGCATTTGCCCTTTATGATCTAACTGAAAGTTTATTCATGAGTAAATTTCATTGTTTGTGTAATTTTGTTAAAAACAGTTACGTACAATTCAGCCTTACGGATTCAGGATTGGCATGGTTGCAAAACACAAAAACAGTTACTGAACGCCAGTCTAATAAATAGTAAGAAATCTCAAATTAACACAAGTACACTTTTAATAGCAAAATTAAAATAAGTAAAAAGCATTGTTATCTACCAAAACAACCACGCGATTCCAGGTACTTCTGGTAAAACCGGTTTTCGATTGATCAGTGCCTCTTTTTGTTGCGATGACAGACGCACATCGAGCCCTTTGCGAAAAGCAGTGTCATATTTGGGGGCCGCCAATGCCATCATTCGCCTTCTGGTCCGACAGAACACATTGACCGATTTCTCTTTAACCTAAAAACGAAAACTGACAATTTAGAACAGCTAAAAAATCAAAATACTGTAACAACACATCTCTAATTGGCTGTAGACTTACAAGTTCATGATAATAAGCAATAAAATTATTTTCTTGAAAACGATGTCGAATGCCGAATGGCTGCCGCACATCCTCCTTTAGGCGGCGACTTGCTGCAGTAGCTCAAGCCGCAGCGGTCAGCGGAGCGCACTTTCCTCGTACTGCACTGCACTTGAAACTTTGGACCGTACGAGTCGAGTACTGTACGTACCACTTCACTGCACTGCACTGTACTTTGGTTATTAATTAAACTTTGTGCGTTTTGTACGAGTGCAGTCTAAACTGCACTCTTTGTACTTTATGGTTTAACTGTACGAGCAAGTACCATACTTAACTGCACTGTACTTTCAAGTCTTAAGTACTTACCTTAACTTTCTGCGAGACCAGTCTTACCATACTGTAAATATTCAATGTTTACTTGTGATTCGCAATAGACTTCCCCATTGTCACGTCACTAGGTTTTGTTTTGTTTTGTATAGATATATATATTTGTTTGGCTCAGTTGCGTGCACTGTGCACAGATTATCCGTGACGTTTTCATCGGTGACGGGCGAAATGGAAAAGCGCATGTTTCCTGAGAGACGAAAGCAGTTGCTGGAGTTAGACTACCAACTGTCGACAAACCAGTTTGCGAGATCGTTGGGTGATGATGGTCGCAGCACAGATTACTTACACCTGTAACTTCATGGTGGACGCTGGGCCCAGTTATCCGCAGATTCCGGCTGGCCAATGGACTGTCACCCTGACCATTGACGAAGGGACTACAGCTTATGAACCAGAAATCTCCGTTATAGCGGATGTCCGACCGAAAGAAAAGCTGACATCGCCTACGGCAGTGTCCGTCCACTGCAAAGTGGGGTACGTGTACTGCGCGTTACGACTTACGCGCACCCGTTGAAGCATCGAAAAACAAATGATAAGAATATTTCGAGTCCATAAGTTTCGAGGATGTTCCAGCTGCATTATATTGCTTTAACTTGTGCGATTTCAGCTTATGCAAGCTGCTTTGACATTGGGTTCTGGATACGGTTTGCCTCGACTGAACTAAAATTAAATGAAATTTTTAGTAATTGCTACCAATTTCTTATTCCTCTTGTCAAAGTTATATTTTCGGTTAAAATGATAGAATAACATTGTTGTAAAATGTTTTATTTTACTGAGCAGGTTCAGGTTTTACCCAACAATGTTTTTAAAAAATCTGAACATGCATGCTGAAAATAGAAAAAATTATCAGTTTTGAAAAAAAAGCTATGTCCGCTGTCAATTTTTGAGAAATCCTGTTGCAACCTCCTGCTTATTACTCGATATTTTCAGAACTCGGAAGAGTGCGTATGACCATCTCATACGCATCGGTCCCGCCGGAGCAACGAAGACGCCGAAAAGGTCCAGTCCGGAAAATCTGACGGATCTGGTGGAAGGCTTTATGCTGTCGCACAGTGATGGTGCCCGGTATCAACATGAGCTAAAATCTGACCGGACCGTCCACATCCACTTAGGGTTTTTCATTCCGTCCAACGCCACCACCACCCGGGCGGATATGCAGCGTCTGCGCGATCCGCCGTCTCTATGCGATGGCGTCCTCGAGTGTGGTGGCCAGGAGTTCCCGATCCATCGCGCTCTGCTGGCCAACCACTCTCCAGTCTTGGCCACCCGCTTCCAGAACGCGTTGGACGTAGGGCTGTTCAGCGCGATAAAAGTGGACGATGTCAGCGCGGAGACCTTGGCCGCCATGATCCAGTTTGTGTACACCCGGGAGGAAGTGACGGCCGACGTAAGCGGCGGTCTGTGGGAATTGTATTCCGCGGCTGGCCGGTACGGGATTGCCGAGCTGCGCCGGGAGTGTCTGCGCGTGATGAAGGAAAGCGGGACGGGCTTTCCGGTGTTCTGTTTTTCCGGTGTGCCCACAGCTGCCGAAAAGCAAAGGGTTATCGCCGCCGTGACGTCGCTCGGTGGCAGATACATCGATTCCGTCAAGTATGAGACAGGTTGTACACACCTGTTGATCAAAGTCCTGACGCGCAATGAGAAGTTTCTTGCTTATACGGCAGCCGGCAAATGGATCCTGGACATGCAGTACATTCACGATTCTCTTACTGCAGGACACTTTCTTCCGGTAAGAGTATTAAATATTATTAGCGGAATATTACTCATCGGATGAATAATATTATTATTATATTAAATCAACGCCAGCAAATCGTTTTTGAATCTTCTTTTTATTGCCATACCGTTTCGTTTCCGTTGATCAATAAATTGATAAGACAAGGATGAATAACTCTAAAACCTACAACACGAGTATTGTCCAAAACCCACGGTCGTGTTTACCCGTGCACGCAGCCCTAAAGAAATTTTTAAAAATGGTGAATGCAGTAGTTTGAATCCTTTTCGTTCTATACTTTGCAAACGAAAAACAAATAGATAAATCTGATAGAAAAAGGAAAAAAAAAACCAGTGACGAAATTTTCCTATTGATGTATGGAATACAGTAATTATTCCCATATTTGTAGGAGGAAATGTACGAATGGGGCAATGTGGAGAAGGCCTGCATCAACACGGCGGCCCAAGAAGACGATCTGGCTATGGCGGCTTACCGCTGGCGTCGGCGTGTCCAGCGAACCCGTCAGGGCGCTTTTGCCGACTGGAAAGTTGTCCTGGTAGCCGACGCCAACCGTGTCAAGGGCTACGCTCGCGTCCTGCAAGCCGGCGGCGCCACCGTCTTAACTGACAGGTAAGTTCGTCGCAACGATGACGAAGCTGGCCAGCAAATTAGCCAGAGAATCATGAGATTTTATTCAACTGTCTGCTTTTCTCGGTTTTAATTTGATCCTTGATATTTTCTCTTTATCATCATTTTACATTTCACGATTTTTTCTATCTGTTTTAATTTTTCATTAATTTTCGTTTGTTCTCTGTAAGGGCGGGACGCTCCGCCCTCCTGAGTAGCTATTCGCTGTTTCTGGGGATTTCCACCCCGCACATTTCTGCGCTGTTTTGACGGATCTGCAGCACAATTGCACTGGCTGCAGAATCCTTCCTCTTTAGTCTGGTGTTGCTGCGCCACGGTGCGCATTAGATTCGGCAATAAAGCCTCATCCGGGTTCACGCTGTTCGCTGTCGAGGATACGCATGGCGCCCATATGGCCCCGCGTTATATCTCTCTTTTTACTTTCTAGTCTGTTGTTACAGATAATTTTTATAATACCTTTTTGTTTGGCATACCGTTGTTTTGTTTTGATTATTTTTATGATTATCATTAATTTTCATCCATACTTCGAAGTATATGTTTGCCGGTCTTTATATTCCATGCTTACAGACATAATGAGACATTTAATTTGTGTCACCCTGCATTACTTACTCTTCCTTTCTTCTGTTTCAATGATTACGTATTCTAAGACGACCGAATTTGCAACTAAACTGGCACTAAGAATATTGTATTACCTGAATAATGGTAATTTGGTAACATGTTTTGCTGCAGACCACCGTATTCTCCATTCGTCAACACGGCCACGCACCTGTTGCGAGAATCCAAAGGTCCCACGATGAACGCGGCGGAATATGCCAGTTATCAAGCGGCCGGCGTGTCCTGTCATGCGATGGACTATCTAGCGCATTATTTGTGTTTGTCCCACGCGGGCGCTGCCAAAGCCGCCAAGAGTCGACCGGCTCCACAGGAAGAGGAGGAAGCGCCGAATGCCAAACAAATGCGCCGATAGACAACCGGTTTTTGCTCGGTCCGGTTAATTTTTGATACCGTTTTTTGTTGTCCACTGGACATCCCATTCTATTTTGTTGTTATCTCAAGTCTGTAGACTGTAGTGTTTAGTGTGGGAAGAGCTTCCCGGAAAAACCATGGTTCTTTTCGTCTTAGGAATTCCTTCTTGTTGTGTTATAATTTTTGTTATAATTTTTGTATTTATCACAGAAAAATGCAGTAGGATTATACAGATTTTTTTATGAGGATACCAAAACAAATGGGCGGGCGGTTGCCAATGCGATCTACCGTACATATCGCCAGCTTTACTGGAGTAGAAATGCTGGCTCATTTACCACCATCAGGCGGCGGTTAGATACTGGTGCTACTAGTACCATCAATGTAGTGAAATAAATTTGATCATTTTAATTAATTTGTGAATTCTCGCGGCAAAGCGCACGTGTCGGTCTGTTTTCCAGATCGAAATCCTTTTTCCTCTTAATTGGCATATTAAAGTAGAAATCAGGGTAAAATGCGTTACAAATTTTCATTTGCAAATCATGCTCCTGTACATACGCATGCTGTATTTTACATTAATTTGATTAGGTATCATCTCGAAGCATCATCAAAACGCGCCAATGCTGTTCACGTTACTTAATTCTCCGTGACTCTGAGTGTTCAAAAATGCACACAAAAGCATTTCTAAAATAATAACTGCTTCACTGATCACGATTTACAAAACCCATTCACAAATCGCAGTTTAAATTGTTGAGCTCCGCCGATTCTGGTGTTTTTCCTGCAGCAGTGCAGTTGCTTACCGTGCTCCCGCTGTGGGGGGCAGTGTGCTGGATGTTTGCGCAGCGCTTGTGTTGAAGTTGTGCATTCGCGCATTTCTGATTTCATTTTGCAAATCTGTTCGTGTGTTCAATTTAGCATTTTAGAATTTTTACTAGTGACTTTTTAGTTTTTATTTTTTTCCTGGTAATTGACGTTCTCGTTATCGATTTCCTGCTTCCACATTCCGTTCGCAGTACGCGTAGTCGCGTACTAATTCAATTGTCAGTTGTAACTCTGTTTTTTACCTGCTGATCGATCACTGCCACCACGCACTCTAACTCTGGTAAGCTTTGTGGGGACAGCGTTTCGATCTTCGTGTAGTTGACTAGTTGTCGCAGGGTTGTGCTTGCCGACTGCGGAACCCGTATTGCCTCGATAGTCATGGCATCCTGGGCCTATCCCGTCCACCGACGCCAGCCGCTGTTAAGTCTGCATTACAGAATCCCGACGGATGCCTTCACCTTGGCTGATCTGCACTCCGATGGTCTGGACTACACAGCGGACATCCTGGTGGATACTGGCGCTGGTTGTCTGCAGATGTCGGCCTCAGTGTGGACGGTCACACTGCGCATTCGCGAGAAGGAGGAGGGTTATGGTGGGTATCGGGTCGGCAGCATTACGGCGTCCGTTCAACCCAAGGCGCCAACGAAGACAACAGCGACAGCGGCACTGTCCGTGGAATGCACCGTGCGGTATGTGTTATTGAACCACCATAAAATTCTCGCTTGTTACTAATAACTTTTTAATTTATCATTAAATAGGGCAGGAACCACCTCAGGAGCGGCAAAATTTTGGGACAACATGGTACAGGTCAACGCGGAAGGACCGCGCAGCTCGTCATCTGAAACGAATGAACTTATGTCACTGGTGATTGATCAGGGTGCCGATGAAAATTACCAGTATGTCTTGCGAAAGGGTCGTTTTGTCCATGTCCAGTTAGTTTTTTACGAGGATCCGCCGAACGGAGACGTAAGAGGCCGTCGTGCCGATCTGAAAGGCTTACTGGATTGCGGTACACTCAGCGATTTTACTTTGGAGTGTCAAGGCCAATCATTTCGGGTGCACCGCGCCATGCTGGCTGGACAGTCACCCTACTTCGCGGCCATGTTTAACACGGATATGCAGGAGAAAACAACGGGGATCTGTCACATCACCGAATTTCCTGCCGATGTCGTGAAAGCGTTGGTCCAGTTTGTGTACACCCGCACGGTGGTGGCTGCGGGCGGCCGTTTGATGGATTTGTGGAAGGCCGGTGATTTTTATGACTTAGCGGATCTGCGCACGGAATGCCTGTGTTTGATGCGGGAAACCGTCGCCCGGCTCGCTCCGGCTGAAGCGATCCAGTATTTTGATTTTGCCCGTTCATATGATCTGCAAACGCTGACAGCGGTTGTGGCGCGTGTAATCGGCCGGGAAGTTTACCCAACTGGCGTGGTAGCGTTGATTTCGCCGGTGAACAAGCGGAGCGTGCTGAATTTGCTGTATAATTTCCCTACTGAGCGGTTTATCCAGGATGATCGCGGTGCCGATGGCGTGCATTTCACGTGTGAGTTTAACGTGGATGTTGGGTCGTTCGGCCGCTCCGAGATCCCGTTTTCCGTATGGATTGTCCGCCTGATTGTCACAACAGAATGGTCAAGGTTTAACGACCGTTACATATATATCGAGGCTCAAGTTGTTCCAAAAGAGCCAGAAAAGCTGACCACAGCCGCTGCCGTGTCGGTCGAGTGCCGAGTTCGGTATGTTATATCCAAACATTCAAACATATGAAATGTGCTGGGAAAGAGCTAGTCAGTTTACGGTTAGTAGAACGCATACAGCGTGGTGAATAACGGTGCAGGGATAATTTGAAATCGTTTGGAGACTATGACAGATAACGGAAGCTATTAATTTATTTATTGTTATTTAAAATTTCAATTTAAACCTTCTATTTAATTACTAATGGAAAAGTGTTGCAATCTGACAGTTAAATCAAAATCCCCCGTGTGATAAAGGAAAATAGTTATTGCTAAAGCGATTAAAAGTGGGCCATTTTACCGTAATTCAAAAATAATATTACGCAATCGCAATAGCTAGCGTAACCGTAATGCCGGCCTTTTTTGACGATATTATGAGCTAAAATGCGAAGCAAAAAATTAAAAAAATACGTATCCCATGACATGGCCTCCTTCGATAAAGGTGCAGGTATAGTACATGAAAAGCGACTTGTCGGATACGAACTCTTACGCCGGGAATACTGAGCTGTTTTTCATGAGATCGGACTTTTCAGAGCCTGTGCTGAGCGACCATGGGACAACAGCGTCCACATTGATTCAACCGGATGTAACACCATGGCCAATTGGCATGAGCCCAAAGATGATGAAATCACCACTCTCCGTGAGCTTGTGGATTACGAGGGTTTGCCCGATGAAAGTGGTAGTATGTATGTTTTGCAGAAGGACTGCAGTGTGTTTGTCGAACTGACCTTCCACTTCGACCGGTCACCCGGCGACGCAGCGGTCAACCGGACCGATTTGCAACGGTTATTGGATACCCAGACGTTTTCGGACGTCGTTTTGCGGTGCGATGCTCAGGAGTTTCCCGTCCATCGGGCCCTTCTGGCTGGCCAATCTCCCGTCTTTGCTGGTATATTTCGGACTATGACAGAGCAATTAAACATTTGCGAAATCGATGATGTCGGTCTGGAAGCTTTGAAAGCGCTGATTCATTTTGTGTACACACGCGCGGATGTGGAAGCGGGTAGCGGTGTCAGGTAAAGTTGGAATCAGAATTTCACGTTTCTCATCAAACCGTTTAATTTGGAAATCAAGCCGGGCAAAATAGTTTCAAATGAAAAGTTTATTTTTTTTAGTTTGTGAGTATTTTAAGTAGAGAAACTGAACGAATTTCATGCTGATTTAATAAAACACAGTGACTTCACTAATTAACTGTTAAAGACTACTCAAGGATTATATCACTCACTGACTCACTAGTTATTCTATCCCAAATTTGATTTCTCTCTTATAAAAGCGACATACAATACATGTACGGGTATAATAGAATTAAAAGGTTGAAATTAATGTGTATTTCTATTGGATTTTATTTAAAAAATCGGCTTATTTCTATTCGATTTTATTTAATTTGATATTTATTGGTTTAATTTATTTATTTGAGCGATTTTATTTTCGATTATATTTAAATTTATTTTCCAAATTATTTGTATTTATCCCAGGGAACTGTATGAGGCCGCTGACCGGTACGACATGGCGGAACTGCGTGCCGAGTGTCTGCGCGTCATGCTGCAGATGGTGGCGAGGATGTCGCCGGACGATGCGGTGGAGTATTTTGATTTTGCGCGGGAACATGGTCTGCAGAAACTGCTGGCGGCTGCCGCGTGGGCCATCGCTCGGGATGCGGAGAATGACATCGCCATGGGCATGGACGCGCCAAACAGTGACAGCTTGGAGACGGACTCTGAAATGGAGTATTAATCGGCAGACCCGATGTAGAGCTTCGATTTTCTATTGGTGTTTTTTGTTTAATTTTTGCCTTCCTTGTTTATTTATTCAACCGGAGTGACAGATTTTTATGGTCAGCGGTGGTAATGTTTATTTAGGTTTTTGGGGAATCTTCTGTGCAGCGGCGTGTATTTTCCAGTGCGGTACATTCATGAATAGACTGAAAGTTTATCAACGGTTAATCATTGTTAATTTAATTTTATTAAAAACGGTTACTACAATTCAGCCTTATGGATTCAGGATGGGCATGTGTACAAAACACAAAAGCAGTTGGTAAATGCCAGTCTCATGGTAAGAAATCGATCGAATTAATACAAATACTTGCACTTTAAATAAAAAAATAAAATTTAAGTAATAAGCATCGTTATCTACCAAAACAACTACGCGATCCCAGACACTGCTGGTAAAACCGGTTCCCGATGCGCATCGAGTCCTTTGCCGAAAGCAGTGTAATATTTGGGGGCCGTCATCATTTGGTTTCTGGTCAGACAGAACACGTTGAACAATTCCTCTTTAACCTAAAAAACGAAAAATTACAACAAATTAAAAAAATCAAAGTACTGTAAGAACACATCTCTAGTTGGCCGTAAACTTTAAGTTCCTGATAAATACGCTACTAAAATTAATTTCTTAATAAACCGCAAAATTTTTGTTAACACTAACAGGTAGTTATCGCTCTAAAAGTTCATTGTCGCACAGATAAAATTATACATACCGAAAACTTTCTAGATTTTTAAATATTTTGTAAACGTATTTCGAGAAATCGTACCTACGAAGAGCCCAAAATTTTTTGGCCAATAACCGGGTCCCGGTTAATCATTTCTTCCTTCTGCTCTGGTGACAGGCGTGCATCAAGCCATTTGCGGAAAGCACCGTGGTATTTGGGGACACGAGCGGGAGATTTACTCAGGACACCGTCCAAGGCCACCAAAGTGAGGAGGTTGTCCGCCAGCAGCGGCCCAATCAGGCCCGCAGTATAGGCGTACATTTCCGGCACATCCACCGCGATGTCATCCGTTGCCTCCACAATCTGGCCCATGCTATAATCAGAACATTAAAGATGTTACAGTTAGGCAGCGACAAATAATAACCCGAGTCCCGAATGTCATGGCCCATGGCCTATACACAAATAACCAGCAAGGTATAAATAAATGCACCAACGTCTGCGAATGTGTTAAAAAATAAGCGCAATCCGCAGTTCAGCTTCAATTAGTTAACTGTCTTCTAGCAATCTAGCGCAAAATATATCAGCAGCAATATGTCTATAAAAAACCCAAAACTGCTAGACAAATCCAAATTTCACTCCTGAAATAAACAAATGAACCAGTTTCCCCTGCATTATTTATGCAAGATAGATGCACTAATTACTATACATAATTGTTTCCAAATATTCTGTCATCCAGATGTGCCTTACCCTTCTGTCAGAACTTCTTGAGAAAACAGTCCTTCTCGCGCTAACCCCGAAAAAAACTCCACATACTTCTCCCGATCCCGTGGCTTCACTTCGAATGACTTCTCTATTACGCTTCTGATAAACGACGCTTTCGTCGGACCAGTCCAGCGTCGTAGAATTTTTGCACAATCTAAAATCATTTCCTACGAGGCAAAACAAATTACATTACAGGAGACGTCGACAACAGAGGTTAAGATACTTGTTTTCTCACCCGGCTCTCTTCGCCTTCCAAATTCGTGGCCTGCGTCAGCATCACAGCGGCCTTCTCGGTCACGGCGTCCGCGTCCAGCTCCAGGTCTTCCTGCACCGGTGAGCCACGGGACGGAGTGCCGGCCACCTGGCTGGGTGTGGCCGTACCCGATGCCAGCGGGGTGGCGGAGCGCTCCACGGAGGTATCCTCCGGGAACGTCGGGGTGTGGGTCAGGGAACCGCGCGGATTCATGCGGTTCACGCTCGACTCGCGACTGGAAGAGGCCGATTTATTCTCGGGTAGCCTGCGAAAGCAAAATCAGCTTCATACAACAAAAACACCCACAGCAAGACCCTAGAAGTATAGAAGTACATATCATTAAAATGCTTCACAGAGGCCAACAACTTGTGTAAAAAATTACCAAAACGTTTTAAAAAAGACAGCTAGCTGATTCTAATTAAGGAAACGGTGCTTAAATCGAGTTTTAAATAAACTATCAAGTTGTGGGCAAAACAGCGGAAACGAAATACAACAGAACTGACCTGGCCGTGCTGGCACTGCCTCGCATGTCCATACCGCTTCCAGCGCCCCACAAAGGTCGCTGTGTACCCGGCCCACCCCGAGGGCCTAGCATGGTCGTGTGGCCATGTGATGAATCCGCCTAAGAGAAAAAAATCGTAACTCAAAGGAAGTATTGTTATACCAAAACTAGTACGTACACATAACAGCAACGATACAAAATGCTTAAGCGTGGAATCCCATGAAATGCCATCACACTACGTAAACTGTTCCATATCATGTTGTAACACAGACTAACGTAAGTATTTAACGAGATGACATTGTATGATCCATTTACTTACCAATAATCTCAACGTTTTTTGCTTCCCACCGTCCATCAAGGGCTGCCCCGTGAGACGGCCACCATGGCGTGACGGCTGAGCGGCACTCATGGCGAACTGCGCATGCGGCACCGAGCTGGGCTTCGTTAAACCCCCGCGGCCCATGGCTATCCCGGTGGACAGCTGCTGACGGAACGGCATCGCAGTCGCCGCGTCCGCCTGCTTAATCTCCTGTTCTTCCTTCTTTTTGGCGGCACGCACCTCCTTCCTGGTCGGCGGTTTGGCCGTGGTGGTCTTGTGCGGAACGTAAGTCTTCTTCGCACCAACGGTTTCTTCCATCATGACACGGATACGTGATAACGTCTCCTTGGCATCCATGATCTTCTGCAGCTTCTCGAAGAAGACATTCAAATCCTCCTAAAAACGAGCTAATAATACGACAAAGCTAATTTAAGAATGGTTGGGAAGAAACTGCCAACCTGTTGCTGCATGTACGGACCACATGTCTGCAGCACTAAACACACGCATTCGATTTCCTTCTCACGAACGTCCTGCAAACTGTCCTCTGCGGGTAGTAACTTTTGCAGCAGGGAAATAATGACACAATCCATCAGCGAACCGTTCACATGCAACTGCGACAGAAATCTGCCAAATCAAGTTAAACCGTAAAGGAAGGCGCCAGAAAATGGAGATGTAAATACACTTGTACCGTATATGAGTGAGACAGCGACGATGCGCGTTCTCCAAGCTGGCTCGCAGCGATTCCGACTGGCCATCCTGACGCACTTTCGCTTCCAAATCAGACCAGTCCTGATGGGCGCTTTCCCAGGATGTTTGCGACTGGCGCAGTAGAACACGACGGAACGGCAGCGGTTCGCCACTGGATGCACCAGTTTCTACGTCCAAGAAGTGGGCACACAGTTTTGCGCAGGGTTCCGCGAGATGTGGCTCGGCTAGGGCCTGTAAATGCCAATCTAAAGATGATCGTACTGGAGTATACAGTGACGCTGGTCCTAGCGAACCTTGTCGACAATCAGTGCTACCGTGGCCGTCAGACGCTCCGCGGTGTCAAAACAGCGTGAACGGATCATGCATGTCGTTACGAAGGAGATGTTGTAGGGCCCGAGGGCGTTGATCAGTTCTCGAATTTCCATGAGAATTTTCTGGAAAAAAGCGTTGACAATTCACTGGTTATCAACTTATCAATCAACACGAGCAAGAATTCTACTGGTTGCGTACTGCTTCGTCTGGAAGATCCATGGTTCCTGACATTCTATCAGTTGATTCAGCGTCCCCTCACAATCCGAAGGTTACATAAGGATAAGTACTGAATGACTGAATCTTTATCTACCACCTAATTGTTAGTAGAATCAATTCAGAATTTTCGGACATTTGATGAGGCCACACAAAAATTACAGTACAACTTTTCGAAAGAGGAAGCAATGTATCTGTAAGCGAGAACTTCAAGATTCTGAAATGCATGCAAGCAGAAAGTCTGTAACTATTACTACAGAGTACTGAGTACAGTACGAACGTACAGTACGTGGTACGACGTGCGTACATAATTAACCACAAGATGCGGTGTTTCACGGTCCACCCCGCACTGGCGCACTGTGATGGATGTTAGCTGGCAATGTATTAAAGCGTGTCTTGTTTAACGTGAGAAACGTCCTGCTTTGCGTTTTTTCTTCTCATTATTGTCACAAATTAGGACTCCATAAGGCAAAAATACAAAACGACTTACGGTTTAAGTGCAAATTTTTGGTTTGTAGAAGCAGAGGTCTTGTGGACTGCGAAGTGTACGGAAAAGTCATTTGAAAAGTTAGCTATTTTCAATTTTTCACCAAAGAACTTGTTGATTGAATTTATTGACTGATTTCACCGTTAGCGTCGATATTTTAGACAACTTCCTGCTTCAAGATACATAATAGTCATCGTGCGATTAAGTACAAAACTTCTTAGGATCATCATCAAATCCTGACAAGCCTACATGCCATACCATCATAATCGTCAGTTTATCTTCAAAGGCCATCAGTTGCAAACTTGCAAATCCACAGCTTTATGCGCGACAGACCTATCTCAGGTATATCCGCCCAATCACGGGTTCTCGGTTGATCAGTTCCTCTTTCTGGTGCAGTGACAAATGCGCATCGGACCATTTTCGAAACGCAGCGCGGTATTTGGGGAGATGGTTGGGAGATCTACTCAGTAACCCGTCCAAAGCCGCCAAGCTGAGATGATTGTCCGCCGCCAGCGGGCCAATCAGGTCGGCTGAATAAGCATACATTTCCGGCACATCCACGGATAAGTCATCCGTTGACTCCACTATTTGTCCCACACTGCAAAGAACTACTTTGAGTCTGCGTTACAGAGCAACTCTCACATTCTGAAATATTCTGTAATAACACAAACCACCGTCCGGGACCCGCAAAAATGTTCCACGGACGTTTTTCTAATAATGCTCTGGCACTATCACCAAAATGATAAACTTATATTCAGATTGGTGACATGAAGAGCTCCTATGGAAAAGCTGGGCTGTAGATTAATAGGTGACCTTTTAAACACTGCCATCAGCGTTAACAAGTCCAAAGCTTCAGACTGTTTCGGCATCGAACACTACGGTACAGATACACATGTGCATTTGGTGGCGGTAACCGACGCACAGACATCACATATTCCGTTAGCGCTGAACATAAAGGACCTTCGCTAAGCTTCGATCTTTAATTGTGTTTGCCATGCAATATCACAATATTTACCCATTAGCCAGCACCGCTTCTGAGAAGAGTCCCTCTTTCGCCATACTGGATAAAAATTCAACATGTTTCTCGCGAATTCCTGGCTTGACATCGAATGAGTTCTCCAGGACGGTTTTAATAAATAACGCCATCAAAGGATCAGGCCAGCGCCGGATAGTTTTTACAGAATCCGATGCCACCTCCTGTGGTACAAAAAACCAACATTAAAGCATACGTTCGCAGTCTCGCACATACAGATAGGTAAATATCTGTTTACCTGATTTTCTTCGCCTTCCGTGTTCGTGGCACGCGTTAGCATAACCCTGGCCAACTCGGTCACCGTTTCCTCGTCCAACTTGTCGCATTGTAATCTGCATTTGCAAAAAGTGCAGTCTGACCATTTTAGTCCGCTAAAAAACTGCTACTGCGTTAGTTGTAAATTGTAATCATGTACAGACATACAGTAACGTTAGTGCAGTACATCCGAAAAAGGGATTTGTTAAAGGCTTCCCATGAAAAATATTGTTACTATCATTATTTTAATGTTTTAAAACTGATAAGACGTGATAGAAAAACACAGACGTGATGGAAAAGCATCAAAATCGATAAAATGTTTATCGGCAATAATTTTACTAGATGCCGTAATTAACTGTAATAAAAACCATTGAATCCTAAGAAACGAAGTGGATAAATAGAATCTAAGAAACAGCCGAGAAGCAACACCAACCTGGCCGATGTGGCGGTGCTCTGTACACCCGTTCCAGTTCCAACTTCCTTATGAGATCGCTGCTTACCCATCCTGCCTCGTGGCTTTGCCTCGTGTTTGACGGCATGTGTCTCCTTAATGAATGTCGGCTTAGCCGCGGTGGGCTTGTGCGAAACATAACCGTTATTCTTCAGATCAATGGTTTCTTTCATCAGGGAACGGATGCGTAACGATGTGACGTCGCTGTCGATCATTTTCTGCAGCTGCTTGAAGAAGACATCCACACATTCCTGCAGATACACCCGTCAGTTAACAAAGTTAACACCGGATAATGGTGTGAAAGCCATTAAGTGTTACCTGATATTTTATTTTGGCAGCACTTGTCTGCAGTAAGACGCAAAGGCATTCCACTCGATCTTCGTCGACATCTTCGAACGTTTTGCTCTTGGGAAGTAACTGTTGTAAGCAGCTAAGGATAGCTCTATCTGTTAACATCTCCACCTTGTACAACTCAGATATAAACCTTCAAGCAAAATAAAACATTCAGTAAGAAAACATTTTTATAAAAATCAAAATAAAAACAAGCAGCTACAGGAACTTACCGAATATTGCCAAGGTAGTGGCGTTTCACACGCTCGCGCTTCCTCTGCAGTGCTTCCGGATCCTCTTCACTACTGTCCTCTTCCGCTTCATTTTCTTCCTTCTTGGTCTTTTCGAAATAGTTCTGTGTCTGCCGCAGTACCAAGGTACGGAATTTGAGTGGCTGACCACTGAAATCTTTGGCTTCCACATGGATGAGGTCACGACACATCATGGCGTAGAATTCCGCGTAATTTGGTTCCTCCAACGCCTAAACAGGCTCAACATTTACAAATCACTATTATTCATCCGTAAAATTAAGGCTGTCTTCCTACTTTATCGAAAATTAATCCCACTGTAGAACCCAACCGATCCGCTGTTTCGTTGAACGGCATCCGCTTCATATCCTCGATTAATTTCGCATAGTTACTGGGTATCAGTTTGTTGAGAAGAGCGCGAATATCCAGGAGGGTTTTCTGGATTTACATAATGCAATACATTAAAACCCGGGAAATGAAAAAACAAAAAGTTGACCGCACCTCATTTTCGTCGAGGTTTTCATTCTTCTTTCGACGAGACCTCCAAGCATTTCCGCTGGCAGGAATAACTGGCATCCGTATAATGATATCTTCCATTTTGAAGCAAATACGCGCCGAAATAACCTGAGCGTCGATCATTTTCTGCATTTGACTGATGAAGACGTCCAGACTTTCCTAAGTCAGAGGGGGAAGCAAAATAAATCGAAAAAGACACCGGCCCAAATCAAGGAAATAGAAGGGCGTACCTGTTCCTTAACGCGCGGACCACATGTCTCCAGCATCACGCACATGCAATGGATGTTCCCCTCGCTAACATTCTCCAGTTCCACTGGGAGTAACTTGTGAAGAAGAGAGATAACGACGTTATCCGTAAGCAACCCGTTTACGTGCAGCTGCGATAGGAACCTGCAAATCGACGCATTGCGCTTACATGTAACACCACAAAAGTGACGTAAGGAATGACAAAACGCAGATCACAATTTATAGTTACTGTGTTATGGCCAGACAGCGACTGTGAGCCCCTTCCAAGCTTTTCTGCAGCGAACTTGATCCCCTATTAAAATGCGCGCTTGCCTCCAGTACTTGGAAATCTTTATGAGCTTCCTCCCAATAGGTTTGCATCAGTCGCAACACAGAGCTACCGAATCGCACCGGTTGGCCTGAGGAATCAGTCGACTCCATGCCCGCCAAATGAAAGCAGAGTCTGGCGCACGATTTCGCGAAATCCGGCCCGCTTAGTGCCTACGGTTGAGAGAGAGGCTCGGGTTGGGTATGCGAATGTTCATTATCTGACGATTCGTGGCGAACCTTGTCGACAATCAGTGCCACTGTGGCCGACAGACGATCCACAGAGTCAAAACAGCGCAAATGGATCATGGACGCGATTATCAGGGAGATATTGTCGGCATGAAGGGTACCGATCAATTCCCGAATGTCCATGAGACATTTCTGGAAAAGAAAGTACTCATATATAGAATTTACATAACTACTTGGCTGCACTCAGCAGAACCACGGATGGTTTATTCCGTCAACTGCATACCGCTTCCTCGGGAATGAGATCCATGGCATCCGTGGAGTCAGACATCTGTCCTCTGGCAAACCCAAAGGAGCTTATGTTCTCAGTGTACGAGAAATCATAAACTAATGACATTCAAACCACGTCAAAGCAACGTTATATCAACATGACTAAATAACTTTCACAGACCAAAGAGCTAGCAAGTAAATATCCAAAAGCGACAGTGGTTTTAGACAGTATTTTTCAAGATATCCATCGATTCCATCCTCACAATTCAGCGAAATGCAAAACTACAAATTTACTGCAACGCGTTCTCGTAATTGAGTTAGCGTACTCAGCGAGGAGTGTGACTGTGTGAGTGCTGTTTCGTATGTATCGCTATCGTTTATCTCTAAGTCTTATGAGTGGCTTATCATCCTGATCCATGTAATCGTGCCAAGAAAACGTAAATCGTGTCCGTGTGGTCGCTTTTAGTTGTAGAGCTGGCTATAACTGCCGGTATGGTACTGCTGCAGCCTCCATTGTACGAATTGCCGTTTCGTCTCCGTGCCCTTTAGTCTTATCGCATCATTGTGCAACCAGGTTTTCCACTCCTGTTGTAATGCGCCCGCAATTGAGACACGCAAAAATTACATTGCGCTCGATGACTCACCTGAAACGTATAATAGGTAAATTTTCGCTTCAGTTTATCAAGCATAGGGAATTCTCGTTCTCATGAAAGTTAAGGTCGATTATTCGGACAGAAATACAACCGTGCGTATGCTGGAATCCTGGAAGAAAATGCTTTCAAGAACCAACCGCATTCAATGCCCTTTTGCTGGAGATATTTGGGATGACTTATCGGGTTTGATCGAAGCATCCGTCTTCATCTGCGTACTCTTCATCGCAGGTGTGAGTTTTCCCGGTACCAAAAACAGTGGACTTGATCGCGCCCAGGAAATAACGATGCAACCAGATTCGGCGAACTGGAGCCGGGCCAAACGTACTCTTAATAGCAACTGGTGATACACTTCATCAACTGATGGTATACTGCTGGTAATGGGTTTGATGCATGCATATCTTGTCATTCATACATAGCGCCCGAGGCTGAGAAACCGTCGTCTAAGGAAATTCTCGAGCGTCTGTATGGAGTATGTCTGCTTCTTGTACGGTACAGCTTTGTCGGCACTGGTTTTGATTTACTACTTCCTTAATTTGTTAGACATAAGCAAGTCATGCTACACAGTCAAACAACATGTCGCGAAGTGTGGCAAAAGTACGCGAAATAATCAGCAGTATCATGCTTAACAGCTATTTATACACTTGCCAGAAACTGCAACATATAAACCAGTTCTTAGGATGAGCTCTTTACTAATGAGCTCTTTACTTTAGAAATATCGATAAGCTAAAATGCAAAGGTAGTTCGCGGGAGGTATGCAAAAATCTATTATCTGGAGGAAAAGGCTTGGATAACCAGTAACCGATGTTATGTTTCTTGCTGGTTAACCGTGGTGGATGCTCACTTTACATATTCAAAAGTCCATATTTATTTTCTGCTAACTGCAGTGCTTTGGATTACAGTTTGCAGTCTGTTAGCTGTTGAACCTCAACGATGGACATTCTGTGGGTGGTTAGCATTATTATGTTCTGTGATCAGGTTTCAGCCGCAGACGGTAGGTTTCGAATCGACTAATCAAGCAGTCATTTTTCGGTAAACTACTGGTTCACCAACTAGGTAAGTGTGAAAACGTTATTATTCTGCTTATTATCCATTGTAGAATACGATAATCTCCATGCGGAATTCACACTGACACCCTTTCCCATCTTTTCCGCTGAACCCATGGCACAGGATCAGTGCCGCTTGCAGTTCACTGATAACTGCCGATCGCGCGATACCCTGGCCCGTAACTGTCCTGACAGTTCGATGTTACACATCAGCTGCAACAGCAACGTCACTTCCAACGAAATCCAGCAAATGGCGACAGCGTTTGCAAAGCCTCCACTAAGAGCCGTATGGAGTACGCTCTATGACGGGGATCAGGTGGCGTTTCACAATTTCGCGCCGGTTCGACTGCAGGTCGTTGGGTTCACTTTGTATAACTGTACATCCATTCGCGCCACCGGCAAGCTGTCTTCACTGCGCCTGTCCAACCTGCTGGATTTGAATTTGGAGAACTGCTACAATTTGAAAATTCGCCGAGCGGATTTTTCCCCGTCCCCGAAGGTTCGCTTTATTAATTTCGTCAACACGACCATTCAGTCCCTGGAAACGTTCACCTTTACCGATCTTCCCGCTCTGCGCTTGTTGTCACTGGAAAACGGGTTGGCGCAGATGCAGACATTCAGTTCAGAAATTCGCGCATACTTGAAAGAGCTGCATTGCGGAGTGGCTTTTGAATGGTTTCGGAAATGGTGGGAAAATAAGCACCTGATGAAAAGCGCACGTTTTTCCGAAGTGTATCAAATTTATCCGTTTCCGGTTGGCAACGAGCCCCTGAATAAAAGCAATATTTACTTGCCCATCGACTGCGCAGCAAAACCGTTTCCCGTTGGAGCGGGTTCCATTGATTTCAAGCAAGAACGATTCTCCGTCAATAATGACCTTTGTAAGTCGTTAATAAGGGTATTAAAAAATAATCGTGAAAGAGGCCGAAAATGCGCACCTCATGCACTTTGAAATACTAGCGATTTCGAATAATAACAAACGAGCGAAAGGTTTAAAGGATTGTCATTCCCAAACCCTGTAAAGGTGAATCAGACATAGTTCAGTCAAGCTTGTTATGCTTTATTTTAGATGAAGAAAAATGGCAAAATGGGAATTTTAGCCGCACCGATGGGGACGACCGGTATCCAGAATTCTCTATTGAACCCTTATCCCCGGAAGAGTGTGCCACGCAGGAACTTAGTGACTGCCAACAACATGACTGCGGGAAGGATGCCCGTTTCCAGCGTTACGCATATGAAGTGATCGAACTCTATGATCGTGGTTATTGCAACGCTAGCAGTGGAGGTTTAGAGCGCATCCATCGTGCTGTAACTGCAATGACCCGGCTACCGATTCGCCCGGTTATGGTCTACCTGGAGGACCGCTCTCCACTTGCGTTCAACGATATGGCGGAGATTCGTAAACGGATTGTCAGCTTTTGGTTATACAACTGCGTCCAGGAGCGAGCCACACGAAAACTGCACGACTTGTACTGGACCAATGTTTTGGAGTTTATGACTGTCAACTGCTCTGAGCTGGTTATTATGAAAAACGATTTTGAGAATTCCATGAAGCTGCGGCAGATCTTCTTCTGGAATACCACAATTCGGACGTTAGAGGAAAACACATTCACGAATTTGCCGTCGCTCGTGGCACTTTCGCTCCAACACAATCTGAAAAATTTGAGATCATTCGAAGATGAATTGACTGAACCACGTCCGCCGGTTATGTTCACTCAGCGCATCCGCGACTACCTCTTTCGCCTGCACTGTAGTTGCGAGTTCGCATGGTTTCGGCGATGGTGGAGCAATAATACAGCCAGATTTATAGAAATTGCAGACCAAGTGGACGGAGCATATCAGTTTTTCCATGCTATTAACAGCTGGTACACGTTCAAAAAAGACCAAATCCCCATTGACTGCGCAAAACCAATTCCAATGGGAGCCGAATTTATAACTGCTAATCAAAGTGAATTTTCCATAAACGCTTTAGAATGCTAACTTGTCGCTGAGTGCTTCTGTAGAGCTAATTTTCGGTCCAATGTTTATGCCATAGGCTTTATTGTATGTATTGCCTGCGACGTTTCTAATCAAGTCGCTATTGTGGACGTTCGGAACTGCAGTTTGTTGTGCTGGGACCGTGTTTGCTCCGTAAATGTTTCGGAATTAAAAACACCTGGGATTGATACGACACTATGTGCACTTTGGCTCTTTGAATCGGTGTTTCGCAACAAAAAAAGAATGCCCCGTCAATGCTGGCTACCTGCGCTGGCTGCGTGGTGGCAACATTTGTCTGGTGACCTTTCGTTAGCGCTTTGCGATGGGCTTCCGCGCTTTTTCCAACGCGGTTGTTAGCTGTAATTATCTCTACAACGGATTGCATCTGAAAGTGTATCTGGTATAAAAACTGATGGAGTAGTAATTCGGAGATACCGTGAGACACAAATACTGTATATGTATGTATTCTTGTTAATGGCACGCCTATGAATTATTCCTTTTAACATGAGAATCCGTTAATGTCTATCGGCTGCAACGGATACTTTCGATGGAGACCGGATTCGCCGATTTAGAGCCAGACAGAATTTTCTCTACCAGTAGAGCAATTGCTGATTCACAATGTCGCCTTATAGTACTGAAAATGGATTTTGATGGATTAGTTTGTTGTCATTCGTTTTTAGTGTTTGAGGCTAAAAAGCTATCGATCAAATGGTACAGAAATTTAATGCTTAGGTACAGTACAGCAATGTTTGCCTAATGTACTGTTTTGTTGGCATCGGGTTGGGTTTTAATTACTTCCGTGATAAACTTCCGTGAAGAAGCATAGTCATGTTAATTACAACATCAAGCTGCGCGGCGCAAGTACAGAACTAATGGGCAGTTTGATGCTAAATAGCTGTCAGGCATACAAGTTCCTGAAATATGCACACGTTTTAGAGAGGATCTTTGGAAACAGTATTACAAACGCCACAAGCTATAAATATATTGCACACTCCATCAGCTACAAACTGGCTGACCATGAGTGAGCATTTCTCGTTTGCAAACTTAAGTATTTATACCTGAAAAGCTAACAAATGGCAGGTATTAATTGATTAAATTCTAGAAAATACCATCCAGCTGTAATTTTATCGAATAAGGTGCCTATGAGTAGCTCGAATACGAAGCCTGAAATATGACCCTTGATAGTCACTGTAATGTCTGACATTGCTGTAGCTGTTTAAATGTCTAATTCGTTTTCATTTCGGCATAATATCGTGCTGACTAAACTATACAGATAGTGGTGCTGTTTGTTCTCGTTCGCAATTTTACACCAGTAAAACTCACCAACTTGAGGATGATGAGGCACTGGTGGGTTCTCATGATGTCGTTTCACGGCTCAGTTTTAGCTGCAGAAGGTATGGTTCGAATTTCAGTCAAACCAAAATCATTTTTAAACTAATCCTTCTGTTTCGTATAATGTTCGCCAAACTTACTTCATGTAGATGACGGCAACTACAACTCTGATGCTGCTCTGACACCATTCCCTGTATTCTCCGCCGAACCAATGGCACAAGAACAGTGCCGCTTGCAATTCACCAATTCACTGCCGCTCTTGGGAAAGCTTGCCCGAGAACTGTCCCTCCAACCCCATATTACATATTTACTGCAACAGCAGCGCCACCTCCAACGAAATCCAGCAAATGTCAGTGGCATTTACGAAGCCGCCATTGCGAGCCGTTGCGATTTCAGTTAATGACGGCGTTCAAGTGACGTCTGACAATTTTGCCTCGGTACGACAGCAAGTCGTATCGTTCTATTTCTACAACTGTACCTCCGCTTGCGCAATTGGGAAGTGGTCCTCCTTACGCTTATCCAATCTGATGGAATTATATGTAGAGAACTGCTACAATTTGAAAATCCGTCGAGCAGACTTTTGGCCGTCGCCAAAAGTCCGCCTGATAAATTTCGTCAACACGACCATTCAATCTCTGGAGAAGTACACCTTTACGGATCTTCCCGCTCTGCGGTTGTTATCCCTGGAAGGCGGGTTGGCTAAAATGCCGTTGTTTAGTACAGAAATCCGTGCATACTTGAAAGACTTGCACTGCGGTGTGGCTTTTGAATGGTTTCGAGAATGGTGGGAGAATAAGCACCTGCTAAAAAGTGCACAGGAAAACGAAGTGTACCAAATCTATCCGTTTCAGTGGGGCAGTGATGCCTTAAATAAGAGCGATGTGTATTTGCCCATTGACTGCAGCGCAAAACCTTTTCCCAACGGAGTGACGTCCATCGATTTCAAGCAAGAACGGTTCTCTGTCAACGATAACCTTTGTAAGTACTGTACTTAAACGACTTCCTACACTTTATTACGACAGCATGTATGTGCGTCATATTTTATAGCGCTTTGTTCTGTTTATTGTTATCGTTGTTATCATAATAAGAATAACCATCATAAATAAGCATAATAAACCTAATAAGCAACATAATTTTCCTAGTTTCTGATTGATGGATCGATCGTTCCCGTTAAGCGAATGAGGGATTATGTAAGCAAATAATTTGTAGAACAGCCCTGGGAAAAAACGAAAATTCAAACGTTTTTGATTCATTTAGATAACGAAATGCGGCAACCTGGTAATCCTAACGACAACGAATCGGATGACCGGTATCCCGAATTCTCCCTCGAACCCATGTCTGTCGAAGAGTGCGCCACACAGAAACTCACCGACTGTCAACCAAAAGATTGCGGAGGGGATTTACATCGTGGATACGAGATTCACGACTATGGCTATTGCAACAACAGCGCAACTACTTTCGACCGCATACACCGCGCGGTCATCGCGATGACCCGATTGCCAGTTCGACTAGTTATGGTCTTCCTCCGGGACAGCACTCCGATTCCGTTCAAAGATCTGGCGCCGATACGCAGGCGGATTGTCGTATTTGAGTTGAGCGAATGTATTAATAATCGAGCTACACAGAAACTTCACGACTTATACTGGACAAATCTTGTGGGCTTCGTTACTATCAACTGCTCCGATCTAGTAATCATGAAAAGCGATTTTCAAAATTCCAGGAAACTGAGACAGATTTTTTTCCGCAACACGACAATCGAGACACTAGAGGAGAACACCTTTACAAATCTACCGTCGCTCGTGTCGCTTGCGCTGGAGTATAATCTGAAATGTTCGGAAGAAACCGCGGATCCTCTTCAGCCAGTTATGTTTACTCAACGTATCCGCGACTATCTCTTTCACCTGCACTGCGGCTGCGAGTTCGCCTGGTTTCGTCGATGGTGGAGCAATAATACAGCACGATTCATGCAAATAGCGGATGATACCGGCGCGTATTCAATTGCATCTGCTCTCAATAGTTATTACGCTTTTAAAGAAGACCAAATTCCGATTGACTGCGCTAAACCTATTCCATTGGGAGTGGAATTCATAAATGCCAATCAAACTGAATTTTCTTTAAACGCATTAGAATGCTAATGAAGTGCCATTAATTCGGAAAGGCTGATTACTCGAAGCACTAGCTGAAATTGAACTGGTGGTGCATTTCCGCATCATGTTGATAAAATATGATTCAATATGCTGTTACTGGGCGTCAGCGGCACGGGCCTGCACCGTATCATTCAACGCTGTGCTCTTCCGGCAGTATCGGATTTCGTAACTTCCAAGTAATTTTCTAGGCGCACATTACTGAATGTTCGAAATTTCAAATACATACGATGGACATTAGAATACATCACACAGTTACAGTACTTTCTAATTTTTAAAAATCTTTCATGGCATTGAAGTATTCATGTGTACTTGTACAGAGTACAGGCACTTATCTCCTCAATTATTTTGGATACTTTCTATACAGTAAGCGCAACATTGAATTTAAACCGCGTTGTTGCAGTAGGTTAAGCAACATCACAGCACCTGCTTTCAACCATTTCCTACCCATGTTAAAAAATGTTTCTGTTTTTTAAGTTCGCTAATCTATTTGTTTTAAATGGTATTCAGGTCAATCAAAGTTAACCAACAATTACTATTATTGCGAAACAAAGGAATGTGTTCACCAGAATCCGTAACGGGCGTAACGTACCGGAGTGTGCTTTGCAGATACGAGCCTTTGCTCCGCTCCAGTAACCAGTTGATTACTGACAGCCTCGCTGAATAAACATACATTCCTTGTGTATTCTGGTTAATAGATCAAACAGCCGGCACGGCAAAGCAAAGATGGTAAAAAGGTACGATGCAGCTGATACTGGAAGTTCAGGTAAACGTTCACAGAAAGAGGAGCGGGCACCTGTCCTGAGCTCAGCAGCGCTGAGAATTTTTGACAGAATTTTTGACACTGTGCCGTGACACCATACCAGGTGCGTGGCGTGGGCAACGGCAGCGAGCTGAGCCACACTCGATGCAGTTCGATCGCTAGATCGGGTTTGACAAAATAACCTAAATCGTGCACGGTTTGAACTTGGATGTGCACGTACTAACACGTCTGAATCGGTCTGATGTATCTGCTTATGTAAAAACAAAGTTTTAGAATTATGTGCTCCTTATATTACATTACATTCTCAAGCTTGCGCAACTGCTTGAATCTGAATATTCGAAAAAGCGGTTTTCCGTCTTACCGGGAAAATAAAGTCGATGGATTTCCGAAGGGAACTCGTAACGTAACGGGCTGTGCGTTGTAGGTATACCGTCACTATAAGCCTTCGCTTCGCCCCGGTCGATTACTAGCAGGCAGTAACAGCCACACTGAACAAGCACACCAGCCAACTTTTCCCTGGTAAAGTAAATCAAACAGCCGGCAGCGCTAAGGACATCCACGAACACCCTGCCAAGCTTCCCGCATAGCTGCTATTTCCCCTCATCCTGGCTGCTATTTCTCGTTTCTGCATGTTTTTATGTGCAAAACTAAAATTGTCGTTTGTCCCACTCTACATAAGTAAATCTAATAACAGTATAGCACTATACTAACGTCGCAATCAGATAACACTGTGCTGGCTGTAATTTTGTTAAATGGTGGCATCATTTAGCAAAACGGTGGTACCATTTAACGAAATTATTACAATATACTATAATAGTGGCAGCGTGTGCTAAAAGCTGCTAATTTTCTAACTGGGCGCACATCACTGGCATTTGTGTGATGTTCCAGTATCCTTTTTTAAGCTGATGAACATTTTTACGATGATGCTGATATTTTTATGATGATGATATCATGTTTTTTAGTACTGTATTGTACACATCGGTGAAGTTATCTCAAAGTTATTTGGAGCCCATGTGGTGATCGTGTTAAGTAGTTTTTCGCCATGCATTATCAGCTACCGAGATCGTTACACAGTGACAACTGCATTATCAACTTCCTCAGACATATTCCTTCTTGGGCATGCCTGCCTGACACCACGCAGAGGGTGTGTACGGTATCATGCAGGCATGTACAAAAACCAACGGAGAAACCAGTTTTGATTTGCCGGTATCGATTTCAGTTACCAAGGGCTCCAAATACATAAAGGCAGCGGATATGTTGGGCATTCTATTGCCATGTTTTCTTCGTGTTATAACGCGTTGCTCCGGTTTCTCATGGCATCAGGACGGCGAAGGGGAAATTAGCAAGTCATCATGTTAACCGCCTTGGCATTCCCCGACCTCGTGTCTGGATGCTCGGCAAAGTTAACCTGATCGTTTTGGCTTCACCGGGAGTTCATGATACGAGTAGCTTCTCATTGCTCTCCGAATATTGGATTCCCAATAGCCCATGATTCCCGATATCCCATGGGCTATCCGAAATCCAGTATTCGGGGCCATTGACAACAGCTTCTATGTACACTGTACAGGTATTGTATACCTTTGATAATTACCACATTAACATATGTAATCGTGATATCATAGATGCTAATGTAATTAACAACAGTTTCCTGAAGTTACCAGAATGGCAAACGCACGCCCTAAGAGCAGCTTCTCGTAATTTTTGTTTGGTGACCACTCCGTTCACAACCTTCCGATACAACCTCCACTTCGTCAACTACCTTTTTAGACACTACCATTCACTCCGTCCACTATCTTTGGATACTGTCTTCCACTCTGTTCCTAACCTTTCCTTCTTGCCTGAAAAGACAGTGGACGCCAGAGTTCAAGGTTGTGCGAAAGGTTAGAAACGGAGTGTTCACCTTTTTGTTTTCGTTAAACTCTGCTGACGGTCACATCAGCCGTGCACGAAAAAACGTTAGGGCTTTCGATCACAAACGCGATCGTAACCTTTCACTGGCTGTAATATGTTGGAACTCTTTGGCTACCGTATACTAAAAATGACTGATTTCATACCAGAAAATGCCCAGAGACCAAAAAGTGCAGAAGACTGGATTTTAACTGAAAGTCTATAATCAGCATGTACTGACCTAACTTTAGCTGTAACAAAAGATTCGAACCTAAAATTCTGATAGTCCTTGTTGGCAGTTTTTGCAAATTATGTGGCAGTTTCTCTACTCTGGTCTAACCTGTGGGGAAAACTATACAGCTAACGATACAAACTTACAAAACAAAACTAAGAATCCATTCAAGCACGCTTTTTAATCCAGAAACGCTCTATTATTCGATCGAACATAACCACCCGATCACAAGTGTGATGGGAAACGAAACGCCGAGGTGAGCGTGATTACATCGCGGCCGCTTTGCACGATCAGCCCACCGCGTTCCCTGGCCCTACCGCCAAGGGCTTGCCGCTCTTTACGGGACGGCAACAAGACCGCTTCAGCGTCCGTCATCTCCAGCTTACTCTCTTGCTCCTTCCTTCTTGCGGCGGCACGCACTTTCTTACTGGCTGTCGATTTTGTGGCGGATAGTTTGCGCGAAATGTAATTGTTGTTCTTCAAATCAAGGGCGTCTTCCATCAGAAAACGGACGCGTGGCGATGTGACTTTGGCGCCGATCATCTTGCGCAGCTGCTCGAAGAAGCCTTCCACCAGTTTCTGAAGAAGCAATGGTCACTTAGTCAGTGACTACTTCTGATTGTAGAATTAAAACGGCTACCTGATCTTTTATTTTGACACCACACGACTGCAGGAGCTTGCACAGGCATTCTATCTTATGATCATCGACATCTTCGAAAGTTTTACTCTTGGAAGCAGCTTTTGGATGCAGCTAAGGATTATTCCGTCGGTCAACATGTCCACCTTATACAACTCGGATATAAACCTTTAACAAGCAAATCATTTCATGCTGAAATCTTTTGAGTACAATAACGATTTATCGTAGTACAAAAGTACCGAATGTTTCCGAGGTAGTGGCGTTTGGCACGGTCACGTTGCTCTTGCAGTGCTTCCGGATCCTTTTCGCTCTCAGCCTCTTCCACTTCTTTTTCCGTGTTTTCGAAATACATCTGCGACTGCTGCAGTACAATGGTAAGGAATTGGGCCTGCTGACCATTGGCATCTTTGGCTTCCACATTCATAAAATCGCGGCACATCCTGGCATATGATTCCGTGTAAAAATAATTTTCTTCCTCCAGCGCCTACAAACCATCAAGAAAATATGTAGCAACTAAAGTACTGGTATCTGCAGTACCGTACAGAGTAATGACAGAAGTCCGACTTTATCGACAATTAATCCGACTGTGGAAAGCAATCGATCCGCTGTGTCGTTGAACGGCATCCGCTTCATATCCTCGATTAACTCGGCATAGTTGCTGGGTGACAGTCTGTTGAGTAGGGCGGTCACGTCCAGGAGAACTTTCTGGAACAACCCAGCACTGTACAGAAATCGGACAAATACAGCAGCAACAAAATAACCAACACCAAACTGGACGGACAAGTTTATACGCAGGCTACACTCCCTGTTGCCAAAGGGGGTTTGGGTGTGCGACGAGCGAAAGCGTTGGCTCCTTCAGCCTTTTTGGCTTCCATGTTTTCGACCCGTCAGCTAACATCACGGATCTACAATGGCGATACGGAGAAGTTAGTCAATGCTGCATGTGAATGCTGGAAGCGAGAGTCCGCCTGTGAAGAGTTACCCCTGGATTTGGCACGCGTTCACCAGTGTGTATGGGATAATGCTGTTATACAAAGGGACGTCACTGAGATATGGAGCAAAGTCGGAGACAGTAAGCAAGACGAAGCACGGTTGAGAGCTATCAGCACGAAGTATGCCGGGGCTTGGCTTAACGCTCTTCCCGCAAAAGTGTTCGGCAATTTTTTGGACGATCAGACTTTTCGAATTTCCGTTGGCCTGTGGCTTGGCGCTAAAATTGTCGAGTGTCATTCGTGTGCCAGATGTGGAAAAGATGTAGCAGAGAACGCGCTGGAAGTGGTACCGCGGGCAGCCTTTAGTATGGGACGTGACCTGTAGAGATACGATGGCGGATTCGTATGTCGACGCGACCTCAAAGTGTGCCGGTGCGGCCGCTGAGCTGGCTTCCAAGGAGAAGATTGGGAAATACAAGTCTCTCACTGATCGATATCACTTTGTCGCCTTTGCATGCGAGACTTTTGGCACTTGGTGTGAGACTGGCATTGTTACCTTAAAGGAGATTGGAAAGAAGCTGTATTTGAGAACGGGCGAGAGTCGCTCGACTTGTTTTTTGTTTCAACGTTTAAGTTGGGAGATTATGCGTGGTAATGCTATGAGTGTATTGTGCACAGTCCCTTCTCATGTAAATTGGGACAAATTCTTCATTTGAATATAATTGTTGAGCGAAGCTCGCTTTGTACATATTGAGAAATAAAATCACAATACAGCAGCAAGCATTATCACACTTCATTTTCGTCCCGGCTTTTAGCACTTTTCATACTAGGCTTCCAAGCGTTCTCGCTGGTAGGAATGGGCATATCGGGTTGCCGCTGCTTCTGTACCGAGCTAGGCATGCCCGGTTTTCGCTGGTGATTGTCGTCCCGCGGTGTCTGTCCTTCGTTTGACATTTTTGGCTGGAAAGCAGAAGTTTTTCGAACAAGCAAAACTAATACGATAACATAATCGCGTCGACTTGCAATTTCGTGCTTTTTCTTCTGCTTAGCGGTCTCCGGGTCAAAGATGACCGTAGTAGTCTTGGTGGTCTTGCGTGGAATGCATTTGTTAGACTTCCAGACAAGGATCTCTTCCATCCTGGAACGGATACTCGCGGACGTTACCTGCGCGATACTTTTTTCCATGCGCTTGAAGAAGACACTGAGATTCTTCTGAAGGTGGAGTAAAAAGTACAGTTAAAGAACTGAAACAAATCCCAACATGGAGGTTCTAAAATTAGCGGTTTAGAAGTTCACACCTTTTTCTCCATGTGCGGACCACATGCCTCCAGTATTACGCACATACACTCTATCTTCCCCTCGCTAACACCCTCCAGGTTTGCTGGAATCAGCTTGTACAGGAAAGAAACGATGATGCTGTGACAGGCAAGCGCAGGGGACTCACAGTGAGCTTTATTGACAGATAAAGGGAGCAAATACCGCGTGATTGCGGGGGAGAAAGAACCAAGAGCCAATGTCTGGCCATGCAAAATCAGCACGTCAAGTTGCTGAGAGCAAGTTTTAGAGCGTAATGAAATGTAGAGAGAGAAGTGTGCTGGCGGCAACGTCGTGCTGTCCAGACATGTGGAATGTGATGCGCAGACTGGACTCGTATCCAACGCGAGCGTATATGCGCTGAGTCATACAGCGAGAGAGAGGAGCGAGAGAGCAAGTATGCTCAGTGAGTGCGCCCGCGGTGGATCCGCTAGGCGGAGAGTGCAGTGCAGCCACTCACGTACGTACAAGAGAGGGCGAATCAGCATGTGTGCAGTGATACGCATACGCAAAGTGGCGTATCTATCACGCAGGCTGTCGTGCCTTTAACAATGCGATTCTTCCGCAAACCGGTAACGTACAAATACGACACGAAACTAGAGAACAAGCACCCTGCTAACAATTTCTACCAGAAAAACCCAGCAACAATTCGGTATACCGTGCAATCGCTAAACAGCGATCGTGAGTGTTCTTCAGGTTCGTTCGCAGCGATTCCGATTTCTCTCATCAAAAACATGCTCCCTTCCATAGCTGCAGAATTACTATGGGCTTCCTTCCAATACGTTCGCACCAGGCGCAATACAGCTGTGCGGAACTGAACCTGGTGCTGTTCGCCTGCGGAATCAGCATCCGCTAACTGCGAACATAATTCGGCGCAGGATTCGGTGAGATGTGACTCGGCAAGTGCCTACAGTTAGACAAAATTCTATGCCGGGGAATCTACGGTAAGCTGACGCCTGTGATGGCGAACTTTGTCTACGATCAGTGCCACCGTGGCCGTCAGACGCTCCGGAGTGTCAAAACAGTGCAGGCGAATTATGGATGGGGTGATGACGGAGACACTGCCAGGGCTATGTCTCCGTCATCAATAAAATCGCTAGGTGGGTGAGTGACCGAGCTACCACCACTGTCCAGTGAACAAAGTTGCTAACTGAGTGAGAGGACCGAGCTAGACTCCGTGCTAAGAAGTTCTAAAATAACTGCTAAGGCAGCTAGTGAATTTACTAACGAATTACTGCAAATGGAATGATTTGTTCAAAGCGGCCGTGGATCACAAGAAACGCGGAGGCGAAGCCGCAGCGGTTTCTTGTATTATTAACGACAATAGCCAGTTTCTTCTGGAATTTTATTATCACGATATTATTGCTTAATAATACTCACCATCAGCCAGCACGGCTTGAGAAAAGAGTCCATCTCGCGCCAGCCCGGACAGGCGCTCCGCCTGTTTTTCCCGAGCTGGTGACGTTTCATCGAACGACATCTTTAGAAAGCCCTTAATGAACAAGGCCTTCTTGAAATCAGTCCAGAGCCGGGTACTTTCCACAGAATCTAAAATCATTTTTCTGTTATATTGTTCCAACACTACCACAGGTCTGAGGTTTCCCAGACTTACGGTCGCAAAAACTCTCTAAATTAATGGTGGCTGGTTCGGTCGCCAGGGTCGTTCGGGAAACGTAGTGGTTGTTCTTCAAATCAATGGTTTCTTCCATCATGAACCGGAGGCGTGACGATGTGACTTTAGCGTTGATCATCTTACGCAGCTGCCGGAAGAAAACGTCCAAGGTTTTCTGGAAAAACACGGGTTTATTAGGAAACACGTTAGCGAACGTTTGCCGACGCGGAAGCCAACCGTTGCTGCCTGTTCCCTAATTCTGACAGCGGAAGTCTGCAGCAGAGTGCACAGGCATTCCACCTTATCGTCATCGACGTCTTCGAAAGTCTTGCTCTTGGGAAGCAGCGTTCAAAGCGTCCCAGGATTACTCTGTCGGTTAACATCTCCAGCTTGTACAACTCGGATATAAACCTTCAAGTAAAAATAATGCATTAATATTTCATGGCAAAACCTGAAAATGCTTTTCTAAAGCAGCAAAATAAGATTACCGATTTGCATTTTGCAGTGACGAGCTAAAATACACACTTGTTCCTTCATGTGCAAACCACATATCGTCAGCATCACGCACATGCACTCGATGTTCACCTTGATAATATCTTCTATTTTCACTGGGAGGAGCTTGTGGAGGAGAGAGATAACCACAGTATCCGTCACCAAACCTTTGACGTGTAACTGCGACAAGAACCTTGCTACCGATTCACTGTTTACAGTAGGAAAACCTGACTTTGGTTCGCCTAACCGTGTAACGCCCAGATAGTGATGGCGAGCACGCTCCAGCCTCGTTCCCAGCGATTCTTAATCTGCGTACGAAAGGTGGTTCCTTTCCAAAGCAACAGAATCTCTGCTGACTTCCTCCCAATATGATTGCGTCTGGCGCAGCAGAGCCGAGCAGAATGCACTGTCCGGCTTGCGGAATTGGTCGTCTCCATGTCCGCCAAGCGAGAGCATAACTCGGCGCAGGGCTCCACGAGATGCGGTTGGGATAAAGCCTACGGTCAAATACAGTTTGACCCGGATGGTCAAATGTGTACTGGCGCTTGGGCTGGCGAACCTTGTCGACAATCAGCGCCACCGTCGCCGTCCGACGCTCCTGTGTGTCAAAACAGCGCAGACGCATCATGGAAAACCGAATGGCATCGACATCATCGGAATTCCTAACTAATTCCCGAATATCCAAAAGACGTTTCTGGAAAACATGTCCACACGCTTTACAAACTGTTTTAAGTCAAGCAGTAAGGTAATACAAAACTGTTGGCACCGATGTAAATGCACGATACCGCTTCATCCGGAATGAGATCCATGCCTTCTCGGGAACCAAAACTTCATTTATAAAAATCCTGGGACAATAAAAAGATGGGTTTGTTCCCCGTGTAAGACAAACCGTAAACGAAATGCACTCAGTCTGCACTCTGCAGCAACACAAATTAAACTGTTGCACCGCCTTCTTCGTCTTGAGCTGTGGCTGTCTCCTGGCCACCCGCAGTGCGGTGGATGCTTGCCTGACGGCGACAGCCGTGTACTGTAGTCGGTCACTGTCGGTGTAGGCGTGGTAGTACCATTATGAATAAATGGAGATGACATGTTTGCATGTTTCCTTTAATGTTTACTTACTAGTTACTACTACATAAATAGTTTTAATAAAGTGACTGCTGAGTTCACGGAAGTTGACACTGGACATTCATACTGTTGTTCTGCTTATTAACTTCAGAGGAGACTTTAGTATTTCCTCACCAAATGAAATACTACTCACTTCCCAGACGGCCTGCAATGTTCACAGCTGAAGGATCTGCATTACCTCGGGCTCGGGGCACCACTGATGATGCGATTGCGGGAGCACCACCGAGGTAAGTGCTCGAATGACCGAACGGTTGAATCTGATACCGGCGCACCAGGCTTTGTACCTGCTACGGTGCAGCATGGGACCGGTGAGATTGAACTACAAACTGCACACCAGCCGATGTTATCAACAGAAAGTACTTCTGAACCAATTCGACGACATGATCCGTCAATGCTTACCATTAGCTACAATCACTAACGTTAACATCACCGAAGACATGTGGATACAAGCATCCCTTCCGGTTGCAAAAGGCGGTATCGGAATAAGAAGTCTGGAGAAGCTTGCACTTCCGGCTTTCCTGGCCTCAGCTTACTGTGTGGCTCCATTAATTTCAGAGATCGTTGATTTTCAACCGGAAAAGTGCTGCCTGGAATGCCCTGGATGCTGCTGTAGAGTGGCAAGAAACAACCCAAAACGACCTCCCAAAACGACCTGATGCGAGAAAACTTCAGAAAGTATTGGATGAGCCCATAGTCGAAAGCACCGTACAACGGGTGCAAACGGCAATCGGAATGACCTCTCCGGTCAAGCGCGGTTCCTGGGTGTCAGCACAAAAAAAATGAAGCGTGGCTGGGATCACTTCCAGCCGCCTCAACTGGGCAATCTCCTCACCGATTCCGCGGTCAGAATCGCAGTGGGCTTACGTCTGGGAGCACCGGTCATTACCTCACACCGTTGTGTTTGCGGGATTGGGCGGATGCCCGCGGCTACCACGCCCTCAGCTGCAAGAAAAGCCGTGGAAGAATTCTTACCCATAAATGTTTGAACGCTGTCTGGAAGCGGAGTCTCGCTTCCACCGGCTTTGAAAGCGAATTGGAGCCAAAAGGGATCTGCTCAACAGATAACAAGCGCCCTGACGGCGTTACGCTGACACCATGGGAAAGAGGGCGAATGTTGGCATGGGATGCCACGTGTGTTAACACCATGGCCATTTCGCACACCGTGGCAACATCTACACGTGCGGGAGCGGCGGCAGCACAGGCCGAGCAAAGCAAGGCGGAAAAATACCGGGACATCACTCCAAACTACCTTTTCAGCGCCTTGGGCTTCGAGACGGTTGGGCCGCCCGGACCGGAAGCAACCCGCATGAAGACAGTAGTAGGACAGAAGATTCAAGAGGAAACCGGCGAAAAGCGGGCCACAGAATTCCTGCGCCAGCGGATCAGCATCGAAATCCAACGAGGCAATGCGGCATCTATCCTGGGAACGGCACCGATGCAAATTTAAATCAAATGTTCTCTGTGATTAGGCCGCATGAGTCAGTTGATGCTGTGTAATAAGTGAAGTCTCTTGAGGTTGTGTAAGAAATGTAAAATGGTACAGCTAAGGACAAAAAAGACGCATAATCCCACCCTCATCATTCCGAACGCATGCGGCGCAGTGCGCTGTACGACTCGGCTAAAATATCCGTCTGTCGTACAAGTGCACTTGCCACATGCGTACGGATATCTGGGTATGGGATTATGCGTCTTTTCTGTCCTAAGCTGTACATTAATGGAAAAAAACTACTCACTTTAGTAAGTTTCTCACCAAATGAAATTTCATAACACCCACAGTTCTCTTATGGAAAAGTCTTTAAAATTTGCATTTTAATGCATTGCACATAAATTCAAAAATAACAATTGCAACAATATAATCGGACTTTCAAATATCATCACAAATATAATCCTAATCATCTTAAAAAAACACACTATAATTAAATTTTTATATAGATCGAGCATTTCCTGCACTGGCGAGATGAGCGTATCATTAGCAGCGTATGTGAGGAGATATGAACGGGTGTGTCAAAATGAGCCGGATGATACCGCTGCTGTAGTGAATCACTGTACTGTATATTTACATCTCCAGTTAACTCATATTTATTCACAAGCAGGTTCATTCAGTGAGAAACTTGTCGCGTTGAAGTCAACAAAATGGTCCTCCGACTTGACTTTTGCGCAATCAACCGGCAAATACAATCGCCAGGGTCTTTCATAGGTGCTGCTCCATGACCCGGCTGGACTGAACACTTCGCCATCCTCCGCGGAACGCAGTAAAGCTGTATTGTTGCTCCACCATCGACGAAATCCGGCAAACTCACAACTGCAGTGCAGTCTAAACAAATAATCTCGAATCCTTCCGTCGAATGGGACATCTGTCATGTCGAATTCTATTGAGAGGATGCGTAAGTCAGGCAGACTGGCGAAAGCGTTTCCGTCCAGTGCACGGATGGTCGTATTATAGAACGTGATGTCCCTCAGTTTCGGAGAATACTGGAAATCCGACTTTTTCACGACAAGGTCTGCACAGTGCCACATATTGTACTCAAGGAGATTTGGAAATACCAGCTGCCTAAGCTTATCATTGTCACGCGGACTGGTGCAGTTCATGAAAGTATACAGGACAATTTGACGCCGGACTGGAGCGATATCGCTGAAGGTGATCGGTGACTTACCAAAGAGTAAAAGACTAGTCGCACGTAGCGGCAGTTTGGCTATAGCGGTCGTCACTCGCCTTATATGCTTTGTACTGCTTTCGTTGTTACAATCGGTATCAACGATTTGGTATAACCCGGCATTCGGTGACGCGGTACAGTTCGTATACGGAATGTCGCTGGGCGCACAGAGACATTCGGCCTGCACAGCGCACTCTTCCGGGGTCATTGTCTCCAGGGAGAAGTCCGGGAAAGCCTCATTCTCAAATTTGTCCTTCTTGCATCCGTCGCGCCACTTATTCACATCTGAAAGTACTTAGTTGTACTGACAGCTCCGCACAAATAAATTTAACATAAAATAAAATTAATAAAGGTTTAATCCATATTCCATATCACAGACAAATTTTATAGCTTCGATTAAGTATCAAATAATTAATTCAGTCGTGCTGAATAATGACATAAACTGATACCTATATAGATTTCAACAAATTAATAATCAACAAATTCAGTACTGTAATCTACAGACTACAAGTTATCTGAAAGGTGACGATTTGGCACTTCAAGTTCTCCTAATTCTTACACGGATCCTCGTTCACGGAAAACCTTTCTTGAGTAAAATCAATAGAGTTATTGGCAAGTGGAAAAGGATCAGCAGCACAATCAACGGGAAGATAAAGTTCCCTTTTCGCCGCGGCTGCGTTTCTGTGGGAGTTTGTACGGATAGCGTACGTATCGCCTTCAGTAATATTTCTTATTAGAAGTCTGTCTGTGCTGAGAAATTGTCGCAGCCATGCATAGTCACATCCACAATGCAGGCGCTTCAGATAATCTTGCAGATCATCGTTAAAGACCTCCATCTGATCCAAGTACCCGTCCATTGACAACAACCGCAGTCCTGGCAGATCAGTAAAGGTGCCCTTTTCCAGATACTGCAATGTGGAGTTGGCAAACTGAATCATTCTTAGGCGGAGCGAATGCCAGAAATCCACCTTTTTAACCACTAAATCGTAGCAGTTATATGTGGTAAAATCCAATAAATTAGGCATCCCCAGCTCGTACAGTTTCCCCGTTGCGCGAGCGGACACACAGTTGCGCAATTCCAAAATGACTGTCGACTTTCTAACAGGCGCCACCGTTTCAAAGTTCAGTTCCTCACTGTCGTACAGGATCATGTCCATAGCTCGCAGCGGAGGTTGAGATAGGGATACAGCCAGTTGATGAATTTCCGTTGCACTGGCACTGGCGTTACAAAACATAGCCAAACCTTGATACTGCGTGCAGTTAACCCTGGTGTAAAAGTAGTCAGTATAATTCGGCTGACAGTTAGCGGTGAACTGCATGCCACACTGGTCATGTGTCATTGGCTCGGTGGAAAACACAGGGAACTCTTCCGGCATTGCTGCAGTAAACTGACCCTTTTTGTTGTCGCTGTATGCATAACCGAGTGGACCATGCAGAACAATTAGCAGAACGAAAAGCGAGAAAACAGAATTCATAGTGCAGCTGGCAAAATAAAAAGTGAAAAAAATGAACAAGATGCTGCAGCGAAATCGCATTAACAATTTCTACTTCCTGTTATTGGATAACAAAAATGCTGCCATTAAACTGCATCTTTTATACCAGCCTTTTATGAAGATCTAAGACTCATTTATCATTTTCGAATTTTCTCCCGGCATTATTTAGCAACGGACGTCTACCGAAAACAATTATTGACACAGCAGTTTCTTAACGACTAACGCCGCACTTCGACGAAATTTGAATCGTTCTAAGCAGGCTGGTACCACGTTGTCACGAGTACTGTACCTCGTTATATCTGTTAATCTACCCGCCGTGGTTTGATGTTTGCAAGCAAAACCGGAATTCTCCGTGGCATGATGCCCAAGCGTGGGCACCCTGCTGCGCGGCCAACGATTCTCTTTCCACTAACCGTTGCTAATTACTTGACAGTAATTAATAACCGTCGGAAGTTCGGTGAGTGAAAAATTATTACGCCTTAATCGCATCCGGAAATTATTACCAGACATTAATCGCATCCGGAAATTTTATTTAACATCAGTTGCACCACAAACACAGACTGTAGTTAAGACTACACGCAGATAAAAATGAAAATGTTTAACAAAAAAAAGTCATACAGGGCAACTTTTCCAGCACACAAAGTTAAAGAAAAAAAGAAAACAGTGGGCAATTGGACGGAAAAGCCAATGCGACCACAGTAAAGGGTAAAACTAACAATATGCCCCACAGAGCCGCATCTTGAACACGTCCCACAAACAGTATAACACTCGTAATTTACTATGCACACAGGGAACCGCTGGTTTTAGTACTGACTCTAGTTGGAGCACCAAGCCTGTCATGGGATCGTGGCGCGCTTGGCTATCTTTATTATGGGAAACGCTCCAACCGAGGTGAATTTAGTGATATGATCTGTGACCGGCACCGTTGTTATCTCCAGAGTTATGGTCGTCCGGTAAAAAGCTCCAACGCCTCTTAGGTAGTCACAAGGCAATCGATCGAGCCTGAAAATTTCATCACTGTTAACAGCTGCATTGGGAGTTTGACATGTACTCGTAATTACCTCGTACATAGTACATTAGCGACTTTGATTGTTGAATAACTCAAGGAATCATTTTCCCATACTTCATGTTGATTAAGCTGGGCCATATGTCTGTTCAGCGTGGCTGCCAGTAACTGACCAAAGACATGAACACAGCAAAACGTTGCATGTGGAAACACAGTTGCATGTGCAAACATGAACACAGCGAAGACTGCTACCTACAAATCACAATTCGCTACGTTACAGCGGTGTCCGAACATGAACACTGTTGTCCTATTTTTCAACAAATAACAGCTTACCCTAATGATTGTGTTCAAAGTGGAAAATTAATTCGAGTACAGAGTACTGAATGGAATAATCGTGTACTAACAAGTTATTCATAACAGAATGTCTTCACCACAGTGTTATGTGTAAACGAATCTTCATTATTACTACAGTCGTGAGACAATGTGCAGTGAGCTTGGTAATCTTTTGGTGCCATCCACGTACGAGTAACATGCAACTTTCAAAAATTTATAGTCAAATGTGCCATTTTTTTGAGGCGCAAACAAATGGCATAGTTGGCTATTAAGCGGTATCATAAGTCTGCAGAAATACAGAACTGCATAATTATAAAGGTAAAACGTGTTGCAATGCAATCTTGATCCCCGATCAAGATAGCATAGAGGAAGTGTTTCTGTTATAAATGCTGTTTCGTTTTGGTACATAGTTTGTACTCGTATCATGATACTTATTAAAGGTTCTTACGGGTTACAATAAAGAGTGCAGAAAACTGCAGACCGTATTACGGCAACACCAGATTTTAGCTTCCACAAAATGTCGATTGACGCCTTCCGTCCTTGAGTCAAAACTGATATTGAAACTCTTTGCATATAAATAGGTTCTGTATATTTCTGAATTAGCATTTTATTTGCCGAATGTTCGATAGTGATTAATCATACTTCACTAGAATAATTACAAAAATGGAAAAGAAATTGTTGGCCGCGCAGCACGTCCGCCCTTGTGCATCATCTGTGCATCATCTGCATCACGAAGAATTCTTGCTTTGCTTGGAAGCAAAAAGCCACGGTGGATAGATTAACACGTATTACGAGGCAGTATACGCGTGACAACGTTATTGATCCAGGTACGAGGCTGCTCAGTGTCAATAATTGTTGTGCGGCAGACGTTGGCTGTTAGTTGAAGCCGCAAGGAAAATCAGAAAATGATAAATGAGTCTTCTATGTTCATAAAAGCCTGGTATAAGCTATAACGGATGCAATTTAGTGGCAGTTGCTCTGTTCACTTGTGCTTTCTGTTAACAGGAAGTGCAAATCATTACTGCGATTTCGCAACAACATCCATCCGAACAGGTCTTTCTCCAAATAATTAATGTCAACTGCACCATGAATTCCATTTTCTCGTATTTCGGTTTGCTCGTTGTTCTGCTACTACTGCACAATACTTTCAGTTATGGATACACTGACAGCAAAAACGGCCGGTTTTCAGCACTAGTTCCGGAAGAGTTCCCAGTCTTTTCCACGGAGCCAATGACGCGTGACCAGTGTGGGATGCAGTTCACCGCCAACTGTCAGCCGAACTATACTGACAACTTTTACACGACGGCTAACTGCACGATGTACCAGGGCTTGGCACTGAACTGCAACGCCAGCGCTAATGCCTCGGAAATTCAGCAACTGGCTGTGTCCCTGTCAAAGCCTCCACTGCGAGCTATCGACTTGACCCTGTACGACAGCGACGAAGTGACTTTTAACACGGTGGCACCTGTAAGAAAGTTAATCGTTTCATTCGAATATTACAATTGCACCTCTGCTCGGGCAACGGGTAAACTGTACGACTTGCGCCTGGCTAACTTATTGGATTTTACAACATATAACTGCTACGGTTTAGTGGTTAAAAAAGCGGATTTCTGGCAGTCACTCCGAATCAGAATGATTCAATTTGCCAACTCCACATTGCAATATCTGGAAAAGGGCACCTTTACTGACTTGCCAGGATTGCGGTTGTTGTCAATGGAGTATTACTTGTACCAGATGGAGGTGTTTAACGATGAACTCCGAGATTATCTGAAGCGGTTGCATTGTGGATGTGATTATGCATGGCTGCGACAATTTCTCAGTACAGAGAGACTGTTAAGAAATGTTAGCGAGAGCGATACGTACGCTATCCGCACGAACTCTCATTACAACATAGCCGCGGTGAAAAGGGAACTTTATCTTCCTTTTGATTGCGCTGCTGATCCTTTTCCACTTGGCAACAACTCTATTGATTTCACCCAAGAAAGATTTTCGATAAACGACGATCCATGTAAGAATTAGGTGAATTTGAAGCATGAAAACTTTACTTTTGAGATAATTTGTAATCTGCAGATTACAAAATTTGAATATTCATTTGTTGAATTTTAGATTTTTGAACAATTTGTGTTACTACTCGGCAAATAAATAGTTATTTAAATCTTATTCGAAGTCGTAAAATCATTCTGCGATGTTTCACTGTTTATTTTAAATTTATTTGTGAGTACAACTAAGAAGTTTCAGATGTGAATAAGTGGCGCGACGGATGCAAGAAGGGGAATTTTGAGAATGAAGATTTTCCTGACTTTTCCCTGGGGATAATGACCCCGGAAGAATGCGCTTTGCAGGCCGAATGTCTTTGTTTGCCCAACGACATTCCTTATGCGAACTGTACCGCGTCACCGGATGCCGGGTTATATCAGATTGTGGGTGCCGACTGCAACAACGAAAGTAGTGTACATCATATAAGGCGAGTAGTGATTGCCATAGCCAAGCTTCCGCTGCGTGCGGTTGGTCTTGAACTCCTCGGTAAGACACCGGTCACATTTGCCGACATTGCTCCAGTCCGGCGTCAAATCGTCCAATATAGTTTCAAGAACTGCACAGGTAAACGTGACAACGATAAGCTTAGGCAGCTCATGCTTCCAAATCTCCTGGAGTACAATACGTGGCACTGTGCGGACCTTGTGGTGAAAAAGGCGGATTTCCAGTATTCAGCGAAACTGAGAGATATCACGTTCTATAATACGACCATCCGTGCACTGGACGGGAACGCTTTCGCCAGTCTGCCTGACTTACGCGTCCTTTCGATAGAATTCGATATGACAGATGTGCCATTAGATGGAAGAATTCGAGATTATTTGTTTAGACTGCACTGCAGTTGTGAGTTTGCCGGATTTCGTCGATGGTGGAGCAATAATACGGCTTTACTGCGTTCCGCCGAGGATGGAGAAGTGTTCAGTCCAGCCGGGTCATGGAGCAGCACCTATGAAAGACCCTGGCGGTTATATCTGCCGGTTGATTGCGTGAAAGTCAAGTCGGAGAACGGTTTTGTCGACTTCAATGCAACAAGCTTCTCGCTGCACGAACCTGATTGCGAATAAATATGGCAATCGTGAAGTGACGATGTAAAGATACAGCAATGTCGACAACAACGATGCTATCATATAATATATTCATTTAGACCCAGCTGCTGCCTTTTCACATCTCGCCGGTGGTAGAAACGTTCGATCTACTGTAGCTTTTGTCAGGTCTGGCATTTTTTTGCAATTTGAGATTTGAAATGAAATCTGATTAAATTGCTATAATCCTGAAATTTACACACAGTGCATTAACATGCAAACTTTAAAGCTCTGTCCATAAAACAACTTTTGGCGCATTGAATCTCAGTTAATAATAAAAATTACCTAAATCTTCCCAACCGGATGCTGCTCGCACATATCGTTCTTCACCAATGTATTTACAATGCATGTATAATGTATCAGGGTCATCTGGCCACAGAATGCAAGAAGTCTCAAAAGTAGTTCGGTATCTGTACACTTTAAAAACCTATTAAGAGTGCTCCCTCCTTGTCTTCTCTATCACCGTTTTCCCCATCCAACTTCTTGTTAATTGCCTGGTTATATATTGCTACGTCCGATACCATCTGTGTTGTAGAGCATCCCACGGAAATGTCTTTCGGTAAAGCCTGTGGTAACCTGTACAAACGTAAACCTACACTGTGCGAACATCTTAAAGGCGGTTGGGTGGGCATCTATGTATGCGAATGAGACTGCTACACGCATCTTTTACGGTTACCCTTGGTCCGACAAAGTTTGCCAGCGTAAAAATACATTATTACGAGTATACCGTAAGAACTGAAAACCAGGTATACGGCAATAAAAAGGTAATGTATAGAATGCTGACTGCAATTATACTTATAAATATGCAGCTGTGTGTGTTCGGTGCTTAACTGTTAAAAAATCTACTAGTACCGCATGAAAATTGCCAACAAAGTTCAGCAGAAAAACTAACAAAGCTAACCTGGTCGAGTTTGCATTGCTTCGGAAGGTCACTCTGCTTCCGGCGCTCCAAGCAGGTCGCTGTGTGCCTACTGCCTAGTCCGCCTTTTGGCATTAGCGCGTGACCATGTGCCGAATCGGCCTAAAAACATAATCCTATTTCAGTGAGATCGATCGCTACACGATTAAGCGACAACTGCTTACCAATAATCCCAAGACTTTCCGTTTCCCACCTGGCAGCAACGGCTGGACAGAGTGGTGTCTACTATAGGGTGGTGGTTGATCGCTCCTAAGCCGTGGCGCTAAAAAAATCGGAGCCTTGTCAACCCCGTGTTTTTTCTTCTGCTTAGCTTTACTGGTGTAACTGCGGTAGTGCTTGGAAAATTATATTTCTTTCTCCTTCCAGTAACCACTTTTTCCACCATGGAACGGATACGTGGCGACGTCACCTTATCAGCGTCGATTATTTTGCATAGCTGCTTGAAGAAGACCTTGACACTTTTTTAATCACAACACAGTAAAGCATTACGATATACCCTCTGAAGACTGAAGTGTACAGTATAAAGAATTCCGCTTACTTGTTGCTTAATGTGCGGAGCACATATCTGCAGTATGATGCACATGCATTCAACTCTTGCTTCGTTAACATCTACACATCTCTCTACGTGTAATTTGTGCAGAATTGAAATAACGACGTCATCAGTGAATAAACCGTTGGCATGCAGCTGCGCTAAAAATCTACAAAAGTTAAATAATCAACGGGTTAGCGGTTGAAAACGCAAAAGCCAGATAAGAAGTCCCGTTTAAGCATTTACCGGCTACAAGCCAAGCAGCAAGAGTCCACTTCAATCGCCGCGATTCTGAATCCCCGTAAAGCAGGATGTCACCTTCCAAAGTACTCTCGGTCGGCTTTTTTCTAGTAGAATAATCTCGGTCGGCTTTTTCCCAACTTTTCTGCGTGCGGCGGAGTACAACGGTGCGGAATTGCAGCGGTTTACCACGTTTGCCTACGCCCGCGGAAGCCTTCGTTTTCATGTCAGTGGAATCCTTTGTTTTCATATCTGCCAATCGGGAACAGAGTGCGGCGCACGTTTTTGCCAGATGTGGATCGGCTAGTGCCTACGGTATGCGCCGGTATTGGGCTAACAAATGAGCATACAAGATAATAACAGAATAATAATGAGTTGTCGAACCTTATGCACAATGCGCGCCGCCGTGGCCGTCAAACGCTCCGCCGTGTCAAAGCAACGCAGATCTATCAGGGATGCCCTTATGGACGATACATTGTCGGAATTCAGCGTGTTCACTAATTCTCGCATTTCTATGTAAAGTTTCTGCAAGGGAATATCAAATCGCGTAACTGGACGCTGGACACAGGGAAGGACATGCAGTATTCATAGTATAGTAACCTACCGTTTCGTTTGTACAGGGATCAAGGGTAGCCGTCATGGTTTCTGTAGTCTGCCCTTTAAACTGCAGGAAGTTAAGTACCGCGATGAGTGGCTCGAAAGTGCTAAATTCACAAGGCATGCAGGATCTTGGATCAGTCACTCAAGTGTTTAATTGCTTAGACTACATACAGCCTTTACGACGAATGGCGATACAGAGCAAAACTGGTGCACTTAGTATTTGATAAGTTATCGTACGGTCATTGCTTTTTTGAAACGATTCAGTTTACTAACAACTGTTGTTGTGCAGTTAAAGTGTATTCTCATGCCGTCGCGGTTATCAGCGTTGACAGGGTAATCAAAGGCAGATTACTTGATGATTAATTACTACTTCGTGCCAAACGGCGTACATTAAGGGTCAAACAATTTACATCATTCTGATAGGGCCAGCAACCAGACACGTTTTTATTTACCAGCAACCAAAAGCAAAAAAAGCCAGGAGATTAGGTCAAAGAGTTTGCAGACGAAGCAGCAAAATGAGTTTCGCGATCCGGCATCATACCATTGGCTGACTAGGTTTTATGGAAATATATATTACATACTTGAAGCATTTGATTAACGTGTGTGGTCATGATTTATTCAGCAGTGTGCATTACAATAACGGGAACTATTGTGAAGCTGATTAACTATTTAGTATGTCGTTATAACTTCCGGGAGGTATGTGCGCACAATGCATTCTGTTTTGTCGACCGGTTAGTCTGATGGTAATAAAGCAGTCATTCATAATCATGGTACTTTGCCCTAGGTACATAAATTCGCAGTAGCAGACAAGCTAATCAGAATCACAATTGGAGAACATAAGATGACGGTAACGCATATCCGATAACTAAAGACTGGCTTTTGAAATGATCCCAAGAAAAAGAAAGCTAGCTTCGACGAAGTGTTTTGGAAAAGAAAGCTAGCTTCGACGAACACTGCTCTTCAGAATATGTTTTGGTTTTGAAATTCCTTTTCTCATAAAAAACACAGCTAACGCAAGGGATAAAGCGAAGCCACGTTATTAACAAAGCAGTTACCTACTACCCTAGTAACCTGCGGCACAAGTAAGGAAATTTATGGCGGTCTTGCGATTGTTAAACTGCAAACTCCAAGACTGATTAGCAACTCCTGAGACGTGAAACCAGTTCCACAGGCTCAGAAAAAGTTTTATTGCATTTGCGAGAATGCTTTGCTGTCAGTTCCGGAAGTATCATCAGCTGCATTAACAAGCAAAAAGGTACGCTTGTGTGACAGTAAATCCAGGGTAAATCACTTAGAGGAAAACACGGAAGTGTCTTGAATAAAAGCTCGTGATCTACACTGTTTCGCAGTTAGCATCGTGCATGAAATATACTTAGCTGTTTTTTGTTTTTTCGATCCCTTTGAACAAGCTCAGCTCAAGCAACTTCTTTGTTTAACGCCGGCACAAGGTTCTCACACACAACATGGATATTCCGTGGGTGGCCATCATCATGTTAATCTGTTATCCATTTTCGTCTGCAGACGGTATGAAACGAATTTAAAAATGCAATCACCAAACCTGTTCTAAAATTAGTTTTAATAGTTTTACCTTTAATAATCTACAAGTATCCCTTGTTCATTATATATCCAGATAACGAGAATTCCAATCCGGATCTTGCACCAGTACCTTTCCCGATCTTCTCGGCCGAACCAATGGCACAGGATCAGTGTCGCATGCAGTTTACTGATAACTGTCGGTCGCGGGAAACCCTAGCCAGTAATTGTCCTAGTAGTCCGGTATTACAAATCAGTTGTGACAGCAACGCCACATCCGAAATTCAACGAATGGCGACGGCATTTGCCAGGCGTCCCTTGCGAGCCGTATGGGTCGCACTTAATGACGGCGAACAAGTGGTGTTCCAGAATATCGCTCCGGTACACAATCAGGTCATCGGATTCTCTTTTACAACTGTACATCCGCTCGCGCAACTGGGAAATTGCCTGCATTACGCTTGTCCAATCTGCTGGAATTGTCCTTAGAAAACTGCTATAGTTTGAAATTTTGCCGTGCAGATTTCCGGTCGTCCTTGAAAGTTCGCGTGATCAATTTTGTCAACACGACCATTCAGTCACTGGAAAGAGATACATTTACCGATCTTCCCGCGTTGCGGTTGCTGTCATTGGAAGCCGGGTTAGCACGCATGCCGTCATTCAGCAGCGAAATTCGAGCGCACTTAAAAGAGCTGCATTGCGGTGAAACTTTCGAATGGTTCCGGGAATGCAGCATCTGCTGAAGAGCGCACAGGAATATGAAGCGTACCAAATCTATCCTTTTCGATGGGGCCGTGATCCCAGGAATAAAAGCGATATTTATTTGCCCGTCGATTGCGCAGCAAAACCGTTTCCTAGCGGAGTAGCGTCTACAGATTTCCAACAAGAGCGATTCTCTGTTAACGATGACCTTTGTAAGTATACAACTGCGCTCACTAATGGCAAAACAATCGTACTGTTTACCTTCTCATAAAGCAAGAAATCAAGAAGCACACAGACAAGCGAGCGAACAAAAATTAATTTTATTTTGTATAGCGTACACCAGATCAAAAGATTTAGTCTCGAGCGGTTCTTGTTTATTTTGTTTTCAGATATAGAAACATGGCAGCCTGGTAACGCCAACGATACAGATGCGGATGATAGATATCCCGAGTTCTCTGTCGAACCCTTGTCCGCGGAAGAATGTGCTACGCAGGAATTATGCGACTGCTTACGGCATGATTGTGGAGAGAACAGTACACGTCTCGCATACGAAATTTACGACTACGGCTACTGCAATACCAGGAACGCGGGTTTAGAGCGCACCCATCGTGCGGTAACTGCGATGATCCGACTACCAGTTCGACCGGTCATAATGAACCTTGAGGATAGCACATACTTCAACTACGTTCAGCGATATGGCGCCGATCCGTAAGCGGATCGTCATATTTCGGCTGCGCAATTGCGTAAAAGAGCGAGCCACAGAAAGCCTTCGCAGTTTGTACTGGACAAATCTTCTGGAGTTTATGACTTTGAACTGCTCCGATCTGGTTATTATGAAAAACGATTTTGAGAACTCAGTGAAGCTGCGACAGATTTTGTTCCGGAATACAACCATCCGGACGTCGCAGGAGGACACGTTCACGAATTTACCGTCGCTCGTGGCACTATCGCTGGAATACTGTCTGAAAAATTTACCAACATACGAAGAGATGACGATCGATTCTTTTCAGCCGGTTATGTATACCAAACGCACCCGTGACTATCTTTTTCACCTGCACTGCGGCTGCGAGTTTGCCTGGTTTCGACGATGGTGGAGCAACAATACAGACCGATTTACCCAAAATATAGCGGAAACCGGCGGAGTGTACGATCTGTTTGCTGTTGCTTCCACCTTTAACAAGTACACTCAGGAACAAATCCCGATCGACTGTGCAAAGCCAATTCCGATTGGAGCGGCATTTGTAAATGCTAATCAAAGTGAATTTTCTGTGAACGCTTTAGAATGCTAAGATGCCTTCTGTTTTGAGCATATTGTTGCTTAATAGAACATACTCATGAATCATAATCATTTAATTGACCGGAAATGTGGTTTTATAAAGGTAAGCGGTGTATGTCTTGACAAGATGATAACACTGTTTTATAACAGAGATTTCTTGGCGTTCAGCTTAAGCATTACAAGATGTGGAAGCAAGCGGAATAATTAGTAAGTAACAAAACAATATCTCGAATCTCTTTTGTATCGAAATATTTCATCTACATCATCACGGACTGACAATTTATTTATTTATTATAATTATTGACAATTTACATTACACCATATGCTGGCAGTGCATTGTAACTGCTACGCATATTCACAGTGGATTAAGGAGCATGCAGCAACGGGAATTGTAGTGGAGCGGTATTGTTAAAACCCACAATATATTATGTAGTCGAGATTTTGTGGGAGGTACATACGCGTATGTACATTTTCATGCTTCGACATTACTACAAATTCAGTAGAAGTATCCACAAAGCACTCTGTACAGCGCAGAGCGGCATGGTGACTGGTTGATTTATTATCACGCGGCAATTTAGGACCAGACACGGCAGTTGCTGCTATTCAGATATTGATTTCGAATAAGTTTTCTGGAAAAATAACCGCAAATCATGCCTGCATCAGTAAAAGCGATGATTACTCAGAATGCCGTTCAGTGTGCGGCAAAAATATGAAAATGCAGCTGCTAAAGTCTAACTACCAGACTTCTTGAAAAGTAAAAACCAGTTCCACAGGTACAGCATCACATGAAGCTTTAAGCACATTTCCGACAATAATTAGCTGTCAGATTCGAAATATTATCATTCTATCACCTGTATCAACAATACTTCACTTCACTATACTTCTCACGTATGTGACGCGGATATACGGAAAATTTAAGTAATTTCACCTGGGGAAGCGCAGCGAGCAAAATATTAATTTCCATCGATCAACTATAAAATGCTAGTTGCCATTCATGGCTTCAGACTTGCGCTTGGCTAATTTAATCGTTGTGCTATCAGTATCTTTGGCGCGGGGTAGCGTTTTGAAATTCAAAGATGAATATTTGGTGGTGGATCATCATGCTGTTCCACGTGCAGCTTCAACCGCAGACGGTATGTTACCCGACGATATTTCCCAAATTGTACGTAATTACGAGCCCACCTTTCAAGAAACTCGTACTGGAGTGCCGTAATAATATATCCCGAGTGAAATATTGGTCCAAATACAGCATTTGCATGCTTTAGATTACGGTAACTGCAATTCGGATTTTGCACCGGTACCGTTCCCAATTTTCTCCGCTGAACCAATGGCGCAAGCACAGTGTCGACTGCAGTTCACCGATAACTGCCGCTCGCGAGAAACCCTAGCCAGTAACTGTCCTGATAGTCCGGTATTACAAATCAGCTGCGACAACAACGCCACATCTGCCGAAATTCAACAAATGGCGATGGCTTTTACTGGGCGTCCTTTGCGCCCTGTATGGATTAGCCTCGTTGACGGCGATCAAGTGACCTTTGACAATTTTGCTCCGGTTCGACAGCAGGTGCTCCTGTTTACGTTGTCCAATTGTACATCCGTTCGCTCCACCGGCAGACTGTCCTCCTTACTCTTATCCAATTTGCTGGATTTGTACGTAGAAAACTGCTACAATCTAAAAATCCGCCGAGCGGACTTTTGGCCATCACCGAAACTGCGTCTAATAACATTCGCCAACACCACCATTCAATCGCTGGAAAGATTTACCTTCACCGATCTTCCCGCTTTGCGGTTGCTGTCACTGGAAGCCGGGTTGGCGCAGATGCAGACATTCAGTAGCGAAATTCGCGCGTTCCTGAAAGAGCTGCACTGTGGACTGGCTTTCGAATGGTTTCGTGAATGGTGGGAGAATAAGCACCTAATGACGAGCGCAGGCGACCGTGAAGTCTACCAAATCTATCCGTTTCATTGGGGCAACGATGCGATAAATAACAGCCAAGTTTATCTGCCAGTCGACTGTGCAGTTAAACCGTTTCCCACCGGAGCGGGGTCTATAGATTTCCAGCAGCAGCGATTTTCTATAAACGATAATCTCTGTAAGTGAATAACTGAAGCGTACAATTTGGCTGTAAGGTCAAAAAATTTATCTGGATGCTAAAATGCGGAGCACTATCCGGACCGTGCTTCAGCGCTTAATAAAACTTGAACTGCTTACTTTCTTTAGACAAGGAAAAATGGCAGCCTGGCGATCCCAAAGACAGCGGCAGCGATGACCGGTATCCCGAGTTTTCTGTTGCCTCGATGTCCCCGGAAGAGTGTGCGACGCAGAATTTCGCCGGGTGCAACGACCCCGGAGATTGTCGAACAAACGACACACGCCGTGCATATCAGGTATCCGATTACTGCGGTGCAGATTTAAACCGTATCCGACGGGTGGTAACGGCCATCAGTCGGCTACCGCTTCGAGCCGTCCTCCTGGATCTGGACGACAGCACAGTCGTGGAATTCAAAGACTTCGCACCGATACGTCAGCAGATTGTCCTTTTCAATTTCATGAGCTGCGTCAAAGAGCGAGCGATGCAGAAACTCCACGACCTATATTTGACAAATTTAATACAGCTCGTGACGTGCAACTGTTCCGACCTGGTAATCACCAGAAGCGATTTCCAAAATTCCGTAAAACTCCGACAGATTTTCTTCTACAATACGACGATCCGGGCCTTGGAGGAGAACGCATTTAGTAATCTGCCGTCGCTCGTAGGACTCTCGTTGGAGTATAATTTGCAGAATTTGCGCACGTATGAGGAGGAACTAGCTGATCCTCAGTTGCCGGTTATGTTTACGCAACGCATCCGGGATTATCTCTTGCACCTGCACTGCGGATGCGAATTCGCCTGGTTTCGCCGATGGTGGAGCAACAATACGTCCCGATTCACACAGATAGCAGACACTGACGGAGCGTATCAAATATTCTCTGCTCTCAATAGCTTTTCCGGGTACGGAAAATACCAGATCCCGATCGACTGCTCAAAACCCATTCCAATGGGAGCGGAGTTTATAAATGTTAATCAAAGCGAATATTCTATAAACGCTGTAGAATGCTAAAATGCTTATCTTCCGTTAACGCATGTTACTTATCAAACTGAAACGTTGGCTCGTTCTTCTACTGGCTGTATAGTACGTTAGCCGAAGTTGATGTTGTGGAGTAAAGTTGAAGCTGCAATACGGCGTAGGCAGTTGTTGGTAAGCACTACTACCAACTAAACAGTACTTTCTCGTAGCTTGTTATATAACATTCGCTGTTATTGGTAACTTTATGAACACTCTGAAATCCCGGAGACGTGCGCGTCAGCTTAAACGTATAAGGACCATAAACTCCATTATCATTAATTTTTTTTATCGAGAATTCTATAGATCTGGGCCAGTGTCAAAGTATTACGGCACTTGTAACGTGTACATTAACTGTACATGTAAAATATTAATTTTGTACTTGCAATATGTTTTACAAACTTGGTATGAATTACGAGTATTTGGCGGTATGCACCCAGGGAAGTACATAATATCTTGTGATCTCTACAATTACCACATCATTTAACGCAAAATGTACATGGACGAAGTATCCGATGGAATATCCGATAGTATTAAACAAACGGATTTTCTTCTGTTGGCAATTACCTCGGGGAACAGATATCATATCACGGCGATCTGTTTTCATGTTGCACTAACACAAGTGAGCAAACCAAAATAATAATTATGGAAACGCTTATCGCTATCGTGCCGCTTATGCTACTACCGAGGAAAGCAGTGCTGTGGCGTAAATAGAATACGTAGGCTTTTATATGGCATCCGCAGTTTAGTTTGGAAACATGTGTTTCAGCAGGTCGCTTTTGCCTGTTTTTAAAAATTAGTTAGCTCCAACTTATCAGACTTTGTAATTCGGAGGAATTTTGTTTCTTGGTAAAGGTCGTGTCTTCAAATTTTTTCGATGTTACCCCAAAGCCAGGCATTATAACAGGGACTTCTTGCTCTCGCGCAGCATGAGAATAATAATTATTATTACACCTTACATAATTATGTTATTGTAATCGGAGCATATTCCGTTGCTGTAATCATATTTATCGTTGTTGTCGGTGCTGGGATAGCCAGCCCTGTTACTGCGATGTTCCGCTCATTTTACATTAAAGTGCACAACCACCGACCACTCGGCAGACCATCAGGATTTGGAGAACGGTATGTACAATATTACATACCGGAACTGAAAACCCGGTAATGCGCCAAACAGTGTCTTTACTCAGCACAGAAAATGCGAGAATTCATAGCAAGAGATAATATGCATCTTAATCAGACAATATAAAACGACTAAGCTGATTCCGGTGATTGCGAGCCGGTTTAGAGAAGGAACTGCAGAAAAACGATTAAAGTCCGACCAACATTGACTCACGTGTCACATTTCTAATTATGTTTTCCGGCAAAACATGTATAACCGCCACCATGATGCCAATGCGGATACTGATAATGTTGATATCAAGCGGTTTTTCTCAACCCAGGCAACAATCACCTCCAGGGATTATAGAAAGCTAAGATCTGCTGAAGATGTTTAAATCGCAGTGTTTGCAGCCCTATGCCGTAATTACACTCAAATGCGAGATACAGCACATCAATCTGGAATACCCATCGCTTCCATGCGCTATATGCCACTAAATATGCCAAATTTATTCAGCATATTAAAAATTACGTAATTGATTTAATCGAAATCTCCTAAGGCTTAATCATGATTTTTCATTGTTTAATGTTGGTTGTTACGCTGCTTTTTCCGAGTATTTTGGTGGCCGACGGTAGGTTTGTGCAATTCGAGAAACAGTGTGTCTTTGATACCGCTTTGGTACGCCTTTGTTTCCCAATTTTATGTACATAATAATTTGATTTATTTTAGATAATATCAACTGGAATGCGGTTCCTCCACCAGTACCGTTTCCGGTATTCTCCGCTGAACCAATGGCACACGAACAGTGCCGTCTGCAATTTACGGCCAACTGTTGGTCGCGGGAGCTTCCGCTCAGCTGGTGCATCCAAAGTCCGGTACTGAACATTAACTGTAACAACAGCGCTACCTCCCACGAGATTCAGCAAATGGCAGCGGCCTTCGCACAGCCGCCCCTGCGACCGGTATTGGTGGACCTAGATGATGGCGAGCAAGTGACTAGTGAGAACATGGATGCCGTTCGAGACCAAGTCATCCTCTTAAGCCTGTCCAACTGTACTTCCACTCGTACTACCGGCAAACTTTCATCATTGCGCTTCTCGAATCTCCTTGAATTGTCGTTAAACAGCTGCTACAATTTAAAAATTGTGCGATCGGATTTTTGGCAGTCGATGAAACTACGTGTTATAGAATTTATTAACGGAACAATTCTGTCCTTGGAGAAAGAAACTTTCACTGACCTTCCCGCTCTTCGTGTTCTGTCGCTGGAAGCTGGACTGGCTTCTGTTCCTTCCTTCAGTTTCGAGGTTCAAGTGTATTTAAAGGAGCTGCATTGTGGCAGGGCGTTCGAATGGTTTCGTCGATGGTGGGACAATAAACACTTGTTGAAAAGCGCTAAGTATAGCGAAGTCTACCAAATGTATCCGTCCGCTTGGGGAAATCATGCTATCAATAAAAGCGAGATGTATCTGCCTATTGACTGCGCAGCTGACCCCTTCCCGACTGGAGCGGTTTCCATTAATTTCAACCAGGAGCGCTTCTCAGTTAACGATGACCTTTGTAAGTTACCTGGATGTACTAATTAATCATACTAGTATACTTCGTAGCAGCTGTTTTTTAAGTAAGAATAAGTTTACTAAATTTTAGATAGAGAGAAATGGCAATCCGGCGACAATGAAGACGTGGAAGACCGATATCCGGAATTTTCCATCCAACCGTTCACTGCAGAAGAGTGTGAGCTACAACAGCAAGCCTATTGCTATCCATTGGAATGTGGAGATACTTCATATTTCGGGTTTCTTGCATATCGACTCTCGTATACTTTTTCCCGCGGCTGTCAGGCAAAATTCGTAGGCATAAATGTTCTTGACCACTCGGTTGACCGCATCATGCGGCTACCGATTCGCCCAATTATCTTCGAAGCATACCCTTATTTCATATATTTCAAAGATTTGTCTCCAATTCGCAAACGTATTATCAAGTTGCAGATGTACGAGCACTCACAACGAGCCACCGCCATCCAGCGCGAACAAGAATTGACGAATATCATAGAGTTCATGTGCACCGACTGTTTCGATCTCGTTATCAGGAAGACTGATTTTGAAAAGTCGAGAAAGCTGAGGCAGATTGCGTTCTGGAACACGACGATCCAGACACTGCAAAAAGGCACTTTCACCGACCTACCGTCTCTGAATTTTCTCTCACTGGAATTCGCTCTAAAAACTTTACGCACGTTTGATGAGTTTCATGCTGACAAGGAACGGCAAGGGCCGGTAATGTTCTCACAACGAATGCGAGAATATCTGTTCCACCTGCACTGCAGCTGCGAGTTTGCCTGGTTTCGGCAGTGGTGGAACAGCAACAATACCGTGAGACTTTCCCCAGCGACGTCGAAGGATGGAGCCTTTTTGACGGTCATCCCTTACTCGGCGTATAAGTGCTATCCGACTGATCAGATCCCGATCGACTGTGCACAACCAATTCCACTGGGATCGGAATACGTAAATGTTAATCAAACAGAATTTTCTGTTAATGAGCCAATGTGTAATTAGCATATGTTCGCCAGCATGCTGTTAGCTTGCTTACTGTAATGCTATTTAGCCGGTAAAAGCTATCTTTTTCTGGATGCGGGTAACGGCTGTATTGAATAAATTTATAATTCAGCATTCTTTACCGTTCCAATTGCGAGAAAGTTAATGCTTGTGGCTTAAGTTCGGTATTTCTGGTCACTTTCACAGTACATTTCATACAAGCCAGTCGACAAATTGAGCATTCTTAAATACAGCGAACATCAGAAATTTACGGGCTATCTATATTATTTTCTTTCTTTTTTTTTCTATTTCTTTATCTTTATCGATGTACGTATACAGAGTACTTCACCCTAACAGTGTCATACTAGTACTTGTACCAATTTTTAATTTTCCATAGATCTCAACCAGCATCAAAATAAATAGTTATTCTCGGTGTAACCAAAGCATGTGTCGCCGCTGCTGTTGTATACTGTTGTTGTTGCAGTTTTTTGTTCTCGACTTAGCGGCATTATCGGTCTTAGTTTTATCACCGCAAGATTCCGCTCCTTATAGAGAAAATTCCCGTAATCATGGAGCACTTGACACATAATCATCCTGGCTACACAATCGTCTGCAATACTTCAGTGCTAAAAACTATTTTGTGATTAGCAATTTAACAGTTATTTATTGTGCTAGTTCTTCCAGAGGAAAATAATCAGCTAGAAACAAAACAATAGTAACAGCTACTAACATGTGCATTGAAGAATGCTCTGTGGGCAGAGATATTCCGATTTGCTGTGTCGGCACCGTGTCTGCTACGTAAACTCTTTTACAGGGATTGCATACAGCCAGTAATGCGACGAACAACGGTGTCTTAAACATCACGGAAATAGCGAAAATTCGCGGCAACAGACGGTGATTAACAATCCAGGTGAATCTTGTCAGAGACCGCTCACTCGAGGCGGTAGACACCTCTTGTGGCTTTGCTCTGTCGCCCGCCCGCACATGGCTACTCCATTCGTGCCGCGCTATTACGCTGCTTACTCAGCGTATACTTTGTCTACGCTGACCAATCAGCGCATTTCTCTGCACTCTTGGGGGTGGAGCCCTGCGCCTACGGGCGATTCCATGCTTTGCAGCATCAGCTGTTGCACACCCGCAGCACGCGGAATCATTAATCACGATTCCTAGCTAGCGCACTGCAGGCACTTTTTCCAGCTTTCCCCGCATTGGGTTTTCTGTTGGTTTTTGTGTTGTTGTTGCTTTATTGTTATCACAATAAAGGCTATTTGCCCCATTTTCCATCTGCTTCTGTGTCTGATCTGACATGGTAGCAGCATCGTTCGGTTTTCTTTCCGACGAGACCTCTGATCACCAGTGAAGGCAACATTCGGTCGAACTACGCTGATCGCCTATAAGTAGGCCAGCAATCCCGCGACCATCTCCTGCATCATACAGACTTCACTGGAAGTCTGCAGCGCGACGGATTATTCATACGGGTCGGCGCCTAAAAGTAGGTCCCCCGCAGCTTTGGCTCCCGGCGCAAAAACTGCGTTCGGTACGTCGCTGTTGACCAATTAAGCGCCCTACCGGGTTGCATGATACGGGTCAGCGCCTAAAAGTAGGCCTCCCGCAGCTTTGGCTCCCGGCGCAAAAACTGCGCTCGGTACGGTCCTGTTACACCAATACGCCCTATCGGGTGCGCTGCGGCCCTCACGGTAGAAGAGGGTGAAGTGGAACGACGGAGCAGCAGTTTGGACGAGAAAAACTCGGTAAGACCAGACTGTGACGCTCAGGGTTTTCGTAGAACTTTCGAAAATTTCGAGGTTTCCGCGTAGAACCTAACTTCAAAGTTCAATAACTTTTCAACCGTTTATCCGATTGGCTCCAAAATAGCTTTTTCGGATTCCTTGAGAAATTCTGTACTAAAAAAGTAAAACAGAACTCTCGAGAAAATTTTCCTTGATTTTTACCGAATTATCGGCGAAAAACAACCGCCATTTTGTCCAGCCGGAATTTTTGCGAAAAAGTCGCGTGACGTCAGCGTGGTGATTTTCCATAAAAATTTGACCAATCAGAACACGTGGGAAACTTCCCCGTGTTATAACTCTCGTAGTGACTCATATTGTTTTTTAAATTTTGCTCACGGCACGCTACTCGTGACGTAGAGCTTTTTGCAAGACCATTTCGTACGTGACGTCACACTGGTCAGTAACGTAAACTAGGGCCATAGGGAGCTAACGCTGATCCTAAGCTCTAGCACACCTGACCAGCACCAACCAGCGACAGCCAACTCAACGTTCCGGTCCGGACCAAGACCAAAGCAACTCTCTAAGTCCCACTACCATGGGCCAAACCGAAAGCGCCTTGGCCAAGGTGATGCCATACACCAGCCATGAGCAACTCCAACGGAGATTGCTCAGTCCAATGGACAGGCGCCAACCCAACGAATACAAAAAGCAACTGGGGAAGAACTACGCTACACGCGACCCACCGGGAACATACGGTTTCCGCAGGGCCAAACAGAACGGTTCTGAACCAGACGAGCCAAACTCGGCCGGCTCAACGAGTTCGGTCGAGGCCAAAGCCAGGCGGGACAAACAAATCCTGCCGGCTGACCTGGAAACCAGTGATGAAAGTCTGGAGCCACCCGGGACGACACATTCCAGGAGGCATCCGACGAACTGTCCGGGGCCAACCAGCCTCTGGACAGCCAACCTGGCGCCGATAGGACGGCCCAGGCCAACAGTGTCCCTCGGGACTTGGCGCACCAACCGGCCATACCTGGTCCGGGCCAAGTCCAACCTGCGGCGCCAACGGCAGCCACAGGTGAGGACAAGACACGCACTGATGGACCAGAGCCAAACAACTTGGCCCGGTCCAACCTTGATGTCCAGGATCTGACAGCACGTCCAGCCCTATCGGGCTTGGACCAGATCCAACCTGAGGCGCCAACGGCGGCCAAAGGTGGACGCAAGGCAAAGGGCCAAGCCAAAAAGGCTGGTCCAAAGGCACATGACCAGGGCCAACAGCCCGTGAGTCAGTCGCCCATCATGTTTGAAGTTGATGGCTCAACCAATACAACGCCATCGCCAACCAATGACGTCATCGGCGCGTCTGGCCCGTCCAAACCGGACGGAGAGCCAATTGTGGACCTGGTACAACTTAGCAGGGCCACAGCCAGGTTGGACCTAAACCGGCCTTCCTGGGACACAACCCGCGCCAGCGTCACTCCGCCAAAGCTGGACCAGGCAACCCGGCCTGAGGAGCTCGACGAAATCGACCAACTCAGGACCACAGTACGGGACCTGACTAAACAGCTGGCGGACATTGCAGAAGCAACCCTGCTATCCGAACGTTGGATGCAGGACGAGATCTGCAGGCACAAAAACTTTGCGGTCCAATCGGACGCAGAGGCCAAACGCGTCTCGGCCATACTGGCCCAGACCCAACTTGAGCTAACCCAGCTCAAGTTGTCACCATGTCCCAATGCTGAGCGAGACCAGCTCAATAGGACAATCCACAGCCTGAAACGGCTGTGGCGGGCCTTGAAGCCCTGCTCACCTCTACGAGGACTGAGCTGGCCAAAGCCAAGGATGACTTGGCTGCGGCCCGGACCACCATTGACGACACCGACTCTGAGGCGGACCGCCTACAGAGAGAAAACGAGCGTCTCACCGAAGACATGGCCAACCTGCAGGACGAAATCAACCGCCTGCGGAACGGCTACAACCTCCTTTATGAGAGTCACCAGAACCTCATGAAGACTATCCAACAAGGAGGACTGTTGAGCCAAACGGTTCAACAGAAGGAGGCACAGAACGTGCAACTCCAGCAACAGATCGTTGCCCTCCAAAGCCAGCTCAACACCGAAGCAACCATTCGGGTACAACTCGAGCAGAACAGCACCATTGGACATCAAAACTTTGTCCAATTGGAGCAGGCCTTCGCTCAAGCCAAACAGGTGATCCAGGGCCAACATGACCGGATCATCACATTGGAGGCCAATAATGCCGGCCTGGTCAAAGACTACCAGGCGGCCACCCAACGCATAACCGAAATGAACGAGGAACTGGAAAGGCTAAGCACGGAAAACGCCTGCTTAGACGCGGAGAAATCACACCTCGTAGATATCAACTCCGAGTTGTCCGCAGAACCACCGTCCTACCATACCTTTCCGGACTCGGACACACAACGTCAACAAGAAAAAGTCGACGAGGCTCTGCGGCAGGGCCAACGCTTCTACCGAGAGCCAGTGTATCAACAGCAGAATTACCAAGTGAATATGGCTGTGGAAGGACCACTGGTTGGAGATCCCCCAAAGGGGCCAACCATACCTACGCCTCCCAGCCCGGTGGACCGCGGAACATCAACGGCGACAGTAACACTGCCGCCACCACCAGTCCCGGTCACCACAACTGCCACTATTGGTCCAACGACAATAGTGACGCCCGCAACGCAGACTCATCCGTCTACGTCAAGCGGGCTAGGCTTTGACCCGAGCCAGGCAACACCCAGCCACAGTTATTTCGGATCAAAGCCATCGTACCCGTCCTTGTACCCGTCAATATTCCCGAACATGGACTTCAACTTCAGTCCACAACCGGCCACAAACCAGGCTCACACCAGCGCCATGGATCCAAACCGGACCAACCCGCTGAGCCCAATGTTCGGGCCATCGGCCACACAAGGACAGATGGGAGGCCAAAGTGGTACACCAACGGTGCAACCACCACTAGTAGGCCAACTAAGCCTATTTGGCCCTCCTATCTCGGCGGCAGCCCTAACGGGCCAAGCTCAGCCAAAGATGGGCCAAACCACGCCCACGGGCCAAAACGTGCCCCAACCACCAGGCATACCGCCAACAGCGGCCATGCCACCAGGACCAGCTGCCCAACCAGGCCAGGGCCAAAATGCGCCCATGTTGGTCCAGCTCCCGAATGGAGCATACGGATGGATGGCGTCCAACGGAGCCATCCAAATCGTACCGGGCCAACCAATGTGGGCCCAACCTCAACAGGTGCCGCTGATACCACAGCAGCCAACACCTGCCCCATCACCACCGGCCAGCCCAGCTCTCTCAACCAGAGAGCAAATCAAAGAAATGGCCCAAGAGATGGGAAAAGCCAACGCGAGAGCTCAAGTCCGCACCGA